TTATAGAATAATCTATAAATATTGTAATTCAGTCTTTTTTTTACATAATTTTATTTCTATTTCTAGAGACAAAAGAACCAAGTAAACAAGTGCTGTTCCCTATACGTTAACTCTGTAATACAGGAGGAATGACCTTATAGCTGTAATGTGGTGTTGAAAATAACTAGTTATATTCTTTTCATGGTGCTGGTAAAGATACCTGATGAGTTTGAGGTTGTATCTTGTTTTCTGTATATTCTGTTCCTCCTGTGGGATGGGAATAATACTTATTTAATACTCAGGGGGGCTATTACACATCTAATTGATATTGGTAAATGTACCACTATCTTCAAGAAGTTGTTCTCTTTATGCGTGAAGTTTAGCCAATTTAATTATATGGAGAAAGAATTAAATGCTATTTTGGAGACTGAAAAGCTTTCACTTGCAATATGTAGCTTTAGGAAAAAATACACCTTTGAACAGCTTCGTTGCTCATCAGTTCCCTGTGTAGAAGAATTGAATCTCATCAGTGAAACGAGCGTGTTCAGCCTTAGAGTGTTGTTCAGCCTAGAACACTGGGAGAGTTATTGCAAAAAGTCCTTGTTCACGTCTGTCATTGGCCATGCATTTTCTTCTTTCTTTTCCATTCTACCTGCTGTTCCACACCAGGGAACTGGTCTAAACCAAAAATCTAACTTAAAAAAAACCACAAACCAACAACAAAACAAAAAGCATCAAACAAAACTCATCTGACACACAAGAAAAAAAAAACCACCAAAATCCAGACCCTGCTGCCTGAAGAGGACAAGGGGGCAGAAATCTTAGGCAGAGGAGAAAGCTACCTTTTAGTGGCAGCTCAATTCTAAATTTACTTAATGTGGTCGTAAAACCTCAGCCTACAACTCCATGTAGATTAGTGTGTCTTAATTGCAGTATGTCCGGTATTTACTATCAGTGGAAAAACACTTTACCCTAATAATAGTGAATGCCAGTGACTGCAGCAGGAAAGATGACATCCTCCCCATAGTTGATGATCTAAAATTAGGTACCTTTCTTGCCTCTCAATGTTGAAGAAGATGTCAATGACCAATTAGAGTGATTGAACTACATATCAACCATTTTCTAATTACAATATTTATTAAAATTTATTTAAAATATTAAACAAAGAAATAATATTTAAGGAAAAGCTACTGCAAAATTAAAATAGCGACAAACTTTTTAATAACTCAGTTTTTAATTAAATGTAACTTCAGGATGTTATGTGTGAGACTTAAATAATCAAAACTTTTGAAAGGTAGTCTTTGCTAACTAGAAGTAGACAAAGTTGGAAAATAGGTAACGATCAGAGTCACAGTGTATGAGCTGTCATTTCAGAGTGACTGAAGAATAGGTTTCTCACTTGCAAAAATTGTCAGTGACATTTACCCTACTTCAAAATCAGATGTAGAAAAAGATCTTAAAAAGCAATGTTGTTTTATTTCTTCCACTAATTCTAGTGTCTTGGTTAAATTGTAATTTACAATACAATTACTTGGTTACATTAGTATTGCACTTTTTGCACTGACGCTGCATTTTTTTGTTGTTCATTAGAAGTTATTCTTTAAAACCTTACATTTCTATTATAAAGGAGCGGGTTTTGTTAATATTATTGATTATTGTTCACTTGATTATTGATTCTGTTAATATTATTGATTATTCCCAGTAAAAATGTTAATATGTCTTATCTAAAAGCAGAAAATGGACTATTTTAAGACTAACAATGTACGTAGAGAGACTTTACATTTTCTCTCAATTCCCTTTACATTTGTCTTTATGAAATGACTATGTTAACTGCTACTGAGCATCTTTTTCATGTTCTTGTTTTCATAGTATATTAATCGGCATTCTTATTGTAGCTTGCCTAGTTATCTTTTGCTAATTCTGAATATAATCTCTATGTTCTGTTTGTGTTTAGTATTCTTCCTTTAAGCATATGTTTGTTAGTGTTTTTAGCTTGATTGTGTTACTGTCAAGCTGCTATTTCTGTTAGAGGTTGTCTTTTGAGATGTCGGGAGATACTTCAGTAACTTGTTTTATGGCAAAGCAATGAGATTGTTCCATCCTTTTCATCCTCTTAGATTCTGTTTGAGCATTGGCAGTCAGAAATGATTGGTGCTGTGAAGTCATTGATTATTTATTGGTTCAGGTGGCTGCTTGTCATGTGTTCGCTTTTGGTTGTCTGGTTCCGAGATCTCCCCAAGTGTTGTTTAGGTAAATACCGAGGCAGGGTGCCCAAATACCACTTAAAAGGATGCTGGAAATCAGTCCTAAATCAGAGCTCAAACTCAAGTGTAAATATTGACACATCAAGGAGGGGGGGAGAAAGGGATTCTTACTCTTGCTGAAACAAGGGATAGTTTTGTTCAATGAAGTATTGGAGGAGGCCAGCTTGAGTAACGGACGCGTGCGTTTGCAGGGAAATGAATCTGTGCGTATTTTAACAAAGAGAATGGTTAGATCTCCTCGATAGGAAGAGAATAAACTAATTTGGGGGAGGATTCAATTATGCTGGGGGATTTAAAAAGGGAGATTTGGCAGAGCACACCAGCTTTTATAGCCTGAAGAAACCCTCTTTCGCGGATGCAGCCTCGGGCAAGAGGCGTTCAGAATGGCAGGCTCTGACAGCCATGTGCCAGGGAGGTCTGCAGTAAATCAGTTAGATAAAGGACAGGGAAGACCTTTCTGATTCAGTTTCTGCACAAGTCATATTAGCATAGATTTTCTATTTCCTTTCTTCACCTGTGTCTTTTATAAACACTGGTAGTTGTATTGTCTATTTCAGAATTTGTGAATAAACGTAGTGGGGTTTTTTTCTTGCATTTTATTTTAATCTGCTTTGACTTCAGATAGCTTCAAGATAACAAGCTTTGCCTGAAGATATGAGAAAACAGTAGTCAGTGTGCTGAGGAAAGCTTGGCAAGGGCTGCCATTCCTTTGTGAAGTCTTTTGGCTCTCCAAAGGGAAGCAGTATATATAAAAAACATGGACCAAGTGAAGCTGTCGTTAGTGTTGGGTTAGGAGGTGTGTTTTGCTAACCAGTGAGAACCAGGGCGGTAAGATCTTAAGAGCGTGTCTTAACCCTGAAAGCTCCCAAGTTGGTTGTCACAGCCAGTTACTGTGAAAATTTGGTCTTGAAACTCCTTTTTGGAGATAGCTCTGAGTATTTGCCTCTAATCAGTAAAATGTCTTTTGAGGAAAACAGCCTAACAAAATTTCTCAAGAATCCTGTAGATGACCTTATACTTTTCTCGTAATATCCTGTTATTTTCCTGGAAGTGCAAATGCCTACTCAGGCGTCCAGTGAGGTTGATTTAGTTTAGTTCAAGAAAGTCAAAAGCAAACCAGTTTAGAAAGTTATAGATTGCATCTATAATAGAAAACAATTAAACGTCTTTTGGAGACAATAGAACACACAAATTAATATGAGGTAGTTATTTTAAATGTATAATATATGGTTTAGGGATTAATATTCTTAATCTCTTTGAAGAAATTAATTAAAAGAGATTCTTGAGTTTTAGGGAGCTCAATACTAACATCTATTCAAGGGTAATTATTATGTGAAATACTTTAGAGCAAACTTTTCATGACTCTAATGATAAGTGTTCTACTGAAAGCTGTTTCATTGACTTTAGTAATGGTGTTTGTAGAAATGGCAGATGTGATTTGTCCTGAAGCGTTTTATCAAGCTGTTCCAAATTCTACAATTAGACATAAGCATCTATTTCATATTCTGTATGACTACTGCCTACAATTAAAAATAAAAAAACTCACAACCCTGTATGAAATTACCCATTGCATCTCTTAATCTCTCACATTCCCCTCCTCCCTCCCCCCACCTTTTTTTTAATTGAAGGAAGGACAGCTTTACAGAATAACGATGGGCCAAAGAGAGTGTGCTTGAGGGTGGGTGAGATGAAGCAGTGTGACGTGCAGGCAGAAGCCCTTTGGACACTGGATCCAAAGTATCAGAAAATGTCTGGCTCATTGATTTCCTTGGTTGCCGTAGCTTAAGTGGCTTTGCTGATCTCAACTGGTGTTGGATGCTGTAGGGAGAAAAGTTATCTCTAAATTACTTAATTCTGAGTACTTTCAAGTACCGGGCTGGTATTAACCCATAAATGTTTCTTTCTGTCTACTTGTTTTCCGTTGTTCCAGCTTTGTCTCCAGTTTTACTTAGAAGTGCCACTAACCCATAAATGTTTCTTTCTGTCATGGTCTACTTGTTTTCCGTTGTTCCAGCTTTGTCTCCAGTTTTACTTAGAAGTGCCAAAAAGGCCTCTTTCTTCTGTCTGAAATGATGATGTGACTTTAAGGTTTTTAAATTGTGGCAGCAACTGGAAATATTTTGAGAAAGGTGTAGCAAAGTGCAACATGATAAAATGGAGGAGGGAAGAAGAGGGGAGGGAGAGCATATAACAAAGCTCTTGGTTCATTTTAGAGAACTGCTTTGTTTATTTGAGAAGCTCTAAACTAGACCATATACAATCTTCATACAAAATATTGTTGATGTTTTAATTTCCGTAGAAGGGCTCTAAACTCAGCCCCTGGGACCCTCCACCCCCTCAGTTCTTTTGAAGTTCTCAGCAAAATTGCCTCGATTACAAAAAAAAAAAATAAAAAAAATGCTCCAGGGGAGGCGAGTCTTTCTTTTCAAAGACACTATTTCAAATGTATTTTTCCTTGCAATCTATATTATTGTTGTTTTAGCATCATGATTGAAAGCTTAAAACTCTGTCAGCAACCCCCAAGCCCAGGCTTCGGTAACAATGCTGACTCAGTGATAACAGACTCCGTTCTACTGACGTGCTCTTTGGCCTCCAATGTAACTCTATCCATGCCTAGAAATTAAAAAAGTAATCCCACGATGTGTTGTAGAGGACAGGTGATCTAGAAATCGTACTACGGGCATATGTTGCCTTTTTTTTTTTCCCCCTTAAGAAAAGGAAAACCTATATAAGTACCAACTTTTTCCCTCCTTTCAGATATTATCATTTGAGACCAAGAACCCGACGGAGCTGGCTGAGCGCTTACGGTCTGTGTGTGGAAACCAGAGCAATGCCTACGCTCGGCTGCTGGAGTATCGCCTCAACGCTCTGCGGGGACTCTGGAACGCCCAGCGCCAGCTCGCCTTGGAGGAGCAGCACGACCGGGAGGCCTCGGGTGATGAAGAAGCACTGGCCTTGCTCAAGCGTCAAGGTTTATTACAGCAGCCTGAACAGGCACCGTTTACTTCCCGGATGGGGCTTCTCTTGGTCTTTCCCCTCATTCAGTCTCAAAGTAGAACAGACCCCTCTCTCTGTAACATAACCGCTGAGGTGCTATTGAATTGCCTTCGAGACTGCCAGCCTTTGAGTTTGACTAAGGAACCAGCTGACTGTCTCAATGGGATAGAGTCTTTGCTGTGCTCCTGGCTGGAAGACACTTCTGCTTCGGGCCAACAGATTCCATATAAGCAAAGAGAAAATGCTGCTGCCGCCCTAGTTGCCTTGGCTTGTGCAAGGTAAGGAAACTACTAAAGTGACATGTTATGTTTGATACTGGTAGTAACTCTTTATATTTAAACATAAGAATCAAAGATTATGAAACCCTGTTGTTACTACTAATTTTTGGTTTACTGTAGTCTTTTTCTTTCGCATTAAATATTGGTCTGGAAAGGGCAGAACTGATCAGCTAAGCATTTAGTTTTTGCATGTGTTTAGCGTACGTAAAAGCAGAAGTATCTGGGTTAGAATTGCCTCTTGTGCAATGTTGCTGCTTCTGCTGCAGTGGTCTGTTCTAGGAATGGTTCCAAATGGTTTTACCACGGAGGAAAGTTGTCTCACTTTTCCCTTCATACTGCCCCTTTAATCCTGTAGCTTATGCATTTTCATCTGGCTGTACAAGGCATTACTGCCAAGTTTCAGGGCATTTCATTTCAGATTTCACTGTTGGCTGTGAAACATGTGGAGGCATTTTTTTTCACTTCATTGCTGGTGAAGAGTTCAGCCACTGTAGGATGAACTATCCTGTGCCCTGCATGGGTTTAGCACAGCATCAGGTACCTGAGGATGAAATGACCATTATAGCTTTTAATAAAAACTTACTTTTTAGGGGATGGGGCTTGAGCAGAGGGAGAGGAGCATACAAAACTTAGCTTCTGCAAAGCCCTGTGAATGTGGATTTAAAGTCACTGGTTGCCTTTTGAAAGTCTTGGCTTTAATGTTTCTCAGATTGCAGTTTTGTCTGTCAAGTTTAACTGTGATACAAGATGTTGAAATTCTCTGAAGATGTCATGATTTGGTTTAGAAAAAGGTTTATTGAAATGAAAAACACTTACTTTCTAGTGTACTTGTTCTAATGAAGTCAATGAGAAATCTACTGTATGTGGCAAACTCTTCTGCACTGCCAACTGCCTTATCTAAAAGGCAATGTACTTGAACATAACTCAGATAAATTGGATTTGATAAACATGATCTCATTTATTTTTCCCCAGATGTCAATTTTCAGGAAGTATGGGATGTTCTTTTGCAGCTGAATCTGTAAAAGAGCTAAATTTCAAATACAGCTTTTGAAATGAAGGTTGATCGTATATTTTCTTTGCAAATCTGTCTTGCATTGCTTACAGAGTTGTGATATCCTGACATGCTTTCTTCACCTATGAAAGCCTTGCATTTTTCCTTTAAATATGGAAGTCATATGTTGGGTACAATTCTGAAGAAATAGCTTTCAAAATTAGACTATTATTGAGATTCCTAGTTGCAATCTTGGGTGCTTTATATTGCTAAGAATAAAACAACAGGGTGAATATTGCTTTAAATAATTAATTGAGGTGCTTTGAAGTATTCAGTGTCAATTTTCACCAAGGTGAGGTTTATCAGTGAGCATACAGCTGAAAATGACAGTGGGGAAAAAAAAACCAGGGTTTGGGGTTTGGAGAAAGAGGTGCAGTTAGACGGTTAAGGAGCTGGGACTGACCCTCTGTGACAGAAAGCAAAAGGCTGCATTCAGCAGAGTGCATGGAAAGGATCTCTTCAATTGATCAATTGTGCTTTTGAAGAAATCAATTCATAACTGGCTATTATCATGTCTGAGACACAGTCAAGATTCTCCTATGTAGCTAGGCCTGGAAAGAAAGCCACCATGTCTTTCAGAAATTTACTTCTTCCTAACACCCCACCTTAAAACAGAAACTGAAAAATATATTTTTGCAGTCAAGATTCTCCTGTGTAGCTAGGCCTGGAAAGAAAGCCACCACGTCTTTCAGAAATTTACTTCTTCCTAATACCCCAACCTTAAAACAGAAACTGAAAAATATATTTTTAGACTCTTATATCTCTTTATTTCTACAAAAAACAAGCATCTTCCACGACATTAATCTACGGACTTTATAGGTTCTCCAAAAAAGTATTGAACTTATGAATGAACAAGAATTATAATTGGAGTTATGAACTCCCATCTGTTTGTAAATATCACAATAACATTTTAAAGTAACACGCTTTTAGGCAAGATTAGAAACAACTTCTACCTAGGTTTAATTTTGTCTTCAGAAGTATCTAGTCCTTATATGCATTTAAATGCATCACTTCAGAAGGGGAAAGGCTTCCAAATTTGTATTTGGAAGCAAAAGTAATCAGACTTCTGATAATAAATTAATTACTGTGGTCTTTTCTATTTTAGTCCAGAAAGCCATCTCTAGCTATGTCTGCAGCAGCTCTTACTAATACTTTGGCTCAACCCCAGGAAGACCCACAGATTGCATTTGGTGATCTAAATAAGATTAATCAGCTATAAGAAATATTGAAAGTAGCTGTCTGTATTAGATGCAAGATTGAGGTATTTTATCATGCGCCTGGATTGCCTTTACTGTACACGTTGTTTAGGACTCAGCCTGGTTTCTGCATCAGCCGTGGCTGCTGATCCCCCTACCTGCATGGCCCTTCATTCTCTTCCAAAAAGATAGTGTGATTTAGACAGACAGTTCTCCGGCATCCTTCCTTTATGTTACCATCTCTTCCTCTTTTCACTTCCTCCACAAAAGAATGAAAATCATCCAGAAAAGAAATGCAAATTAGAAAAGAAGCTTGATGGCATATCTTGGATATTCCCTCTTCATTGGTACTGGATATTATATTCTACATAGATGCTGTTGTCTGTCTGTATTCAGTCTTGTTTCAATAGACATCTTTAATTCATGTTTTTCTTATCCTTTTAGAGGGTCGCTGAAAACCTTTGTTCATACAGTGCATCTATTACAGAAACAGACGGATCTAGGATCCTTGCCTGTGGCTGATGTGTTATACAGGTTTGTAGTGACTTTTCTATTTGTAGCACTTTTACATCAGCTCTGAAAATGTGCAAGTGCATTTACAGATGTATGTCTTTAAATGTGATTAAAAGGCTTTAGAGTTATTGAAAGATCTAGGAAAGATCGAAGTTAAGTCAATTTCAGAAGGAAGACATTAGAAAGTCAAATCTAAAAGGATCTACTAATTGGTTTTGGGTGTTAAGTTTGGGGTTTTTTTAGTTAAATATTGATTTATTAAGCCTTTAATTGGCTTATGAACTCGGACAGAGAATAATTACTTAAAATATATCTTCACCTTTACTTTTGATTTAGCTAGTTTTTGCTGTCACTGTTCTCTATGCATCTTACTTTATTTTTCTACTTAAAGGTTGCTGCTTTTGGAGGGAGGACCTGGATCACCCTCTTGTTTGCTTGGAGGAAAGCATATAGTGTCTTGGGGCTTTGAAGACATGTTACCTGCACCTGATGCCAACACTAGTTCCAGCAGTGAAAATAAAGGTGAATTATTTAATGACTGTCAGTATTAACAGGGGAGGACAAGATGCATTTTAGCAGTGGTAATTGTTTAAAAATTAATGTAAAGCTTTAGAGTGGGAAAGGATTTCTCCTTTTCTGTTGGAAGTAATGTAAAAGCAAGTACAGTACATCTCAAATAACCAAAAGCTGATGGGTTTAGAAGGACCATCTGTAGAGAGAACTGGGCATCACGGGAGCATCTCGAAGCCTGATACATAATGAGAGGGGGAGGGCAACAACTGTCTGGGTACTTTGTTGTCTTAGTCTGTGCATTCAAAACTAAAGTTTTCAAAATATGGACCTAATTTTCAGGAGTACTAAATTGTTTTCGTTTTTTGGTTTGTTATACCTATTCTCATTAAATTAATCTAACTATATATAAATAATTTGTTTGCTTTCTTTAAAGCTGATATGGCACCAGAAGAAATTATCCTCTTTTATATTAAAATTAAGAGGCTAAATCTTAAGTCTGGTGTGTTTATGGTGGGTTTTTGTTTTGTTTTTTGGATGACATTAAGTCAAAATCTGAGTTGTCACTTTAGACTATCTGCAAACTTATTGACAATAACTATATTTCAAAGAGGTTTTCTTGCTATGAGAGTGGCTTTTTTCCTTTCCCTGGCTGACTAAGTTCACAGAATCTGAACAAATAGCTTGACTGGACTGGGTTATTGACATCCCAGTTACAAGGCTTTGCCCTTTGTGTCCCATCATGATTGTTAATAATGACTATTTTGGAGTGACAAAACTATGTCTGGAATACATTTAGCCTTAATTTAAGCGTTCAGAGGTGGAAGGGTCTACTTAGGCGCTTTAGGAGAACACGGAGTTGTACCAGAAATTAGATCAAGGCTCAATATGAGATTATTCCTCCCTCATGAACAGATGTTATGCCAGTGGTCCTGAGCAGAAATCCTTGCATAGTCATGAGCCTTGCTTGTATTTTATCTTGCGGCCAGTTCTGGGTTCTGAACAGCATTACCTGTTGCAAAACCAGAAGAGAACGGTCTTCTGCTCCTTTGCGTCTTTCTGAAGGCATTTAACAGCAAATACTCAAGGTGGTTTATATTTGAGTGAAGGAGTTTTCCACTTGAATTGAGTTTGGTTGAATAGTTCCTAAGCCTGGTTGGTTATGCTAGTCTAGTTCCTGCTGTATTTATAGTTTTGAGTAGTGTGCAGAAAAAGCCTCTTCAAACTTACCGTTTGGGATTTTTCAGGGAAGCTTGGGCCACAATACCCAAGCACAGGTCTTTAACACTGAAATGAGAACACAACACAGGAAAAAGAAATTATTAAGAAATGGATGATGTACATTTGAATCATGAAACAACGGTGCTGATGTCATTTATTATCTCAAAAGAGAAGCTGAGTGATGAACACCTAATTCTTGTTGAGTTTGTTTGGCAGCGGCAGGAGATTTAAATAGCCCTTGTATTCATGTGAGTGAGTGAGGTGTAATCTGGGCATCTCCACAAACCTTGAAAGAAATGTAAGGAAACTAACAAAAAGGAATGACTGTGTTACAGTAGCTCTTAGAACACGGAATAATGAATTCAATATGAAAAAAATGGTTCTGACCTGTCAGTAATGACCTGTCATGAGCATCTGTTGGTTTTCAGTTGCTGTGGTAGCAACCAGGGGAAGTGTAATGACCATGGAGAATTTCCAGTTTTGTGTGTGACAGAGGAGGTCTCTGCTCTATTCTTTCTCCCTGATTCAGATGCAGACTTGGGGCGCTGTCTTGCAGCAGATGGGCTCTATCTTTACACAACAAATTCAGTGGGCAGAGGAATAAGCAAATTAGGATCTGGATTACATGGTACTTTGCGGTAAGTGACAGTTGAATATTTGCTACTCCACAGGTCTGTTTTTAAAAAAAAAAGTTACTGTTTTGTTAAACCTCTCAGATGTTAAATGTAATGACTAGAGCATATGATGCATTTTCATTAAATACTATTTTAAGGTTTTTGTATTCTTATCTGAAATTCTTCTTTCGTATGTTTTCTCTAAAATTGTAGAATAACTTAGGTTGAAAGAGACCTCTGGAGGCCATCAAGTCAGACCCTCTGCAAAGACCTATTAGCAGAATAACTAGTATTTTAGATTTTATTTTATTTTTTTAATGTATAGTAAGTTGGCTTACTCTTAGAGAAATATACTATAGACTAGTTTCATGACCTTGTACTTTTAGTTGTACAGTTGCTGGATTTGTACGTATTTGTTTTCTAATTATGTCGTTCATTATATAAATGAGTGCAGATGTGACTCACTGTACCTTCTATACTTATAGTTGTACAATTGCTGGATTTGTATATATTTGTTTTCTAATTATGTCATTCATTATATAAATGATGAGTGCAGATGTGACTCACTGTACCTTCTTGCTTCTTTATTGCTTGGAAGTCAGGAGGCTTGTTATGCTTAAAGCATTTTACAATGGAAATTGCTGCCTTACGCTGACTTGAATTTTAGTTCAGTCAAAGTTCAAGAATGTGGTTGTGAGTTGTTCTCAGATAAACAAAAAATAGCGCAGAGTTTTAAAGAGTTTTAATATACTTTTTTTTTTTTGTTTGCCAGAGGTTTTGTGTACTGCCGTAATGAGGAGCTGGAGGCTGGCTGGGTTGCTTTTGGCAACGGCAAACTTCTCCATCGGCCCGTCTCTTTTGATAATAAGCCTCACTCCCTTTTCCAGGTTGTGGATCAGCATACCCTTCAGGTAAAAGGAACAGCTACCATGTTCATTGCATTCTTAATTAATCTCAATCATTTCTAGCTTTAATTAGTTTTGTCCTTGAAGTTTCTTCTTACTTCATGAAACTGCCTTGCATGTGTATCTATGTGTTTATACCTGAATATATGCATATACGGACTTATACTGTACTGTATTATGAAGTATTGTAAGGATTAGACTACAGTGAAGTCACATTATAAAACAATCAAACAGTAGCTAAATGCACTTTGACTTAAACTGAAAACATAATTTTCCTGAACAGCTCATTATTCTACTGTAACAAAATTCAGGTATTGTTCCTGATCATGTTTTGTGGATAAACAACTGTCATCCTTTATAAAAATTGATAGTTTGATTACTTTGGGTTTTTTCCTCTCATGGTTTTATGGTTCGATATTTCCTTTTCTGAAGCTGAGACTGTTTGGATTCTCCTTTTTTTCCAAAGTTTCAAGTACTGTTTCAGAGAAGTTGCAGAAAGTACATAGCTCTTTAGCGTGTATATTTTCCTTATGGTACTGTGGGTATGCTCTCAATCATTAGAAAGGAGAAGATCCTTTTATTTTTAGATATGTTAAATTTTTAGATAGATATACGCTGTTTTATATGCAGTAGGTCCATTTGGCAAACATTATAGAATACCTCTTCATAACAAATAAATGTAGTAGTACTATTACCTTCAATAATAAGCCTCTTATGGGCTAACTGCACTTATCTTGACTTATTTATTTATTTTTAAGTACACTCTTAATACTCCTAAGAACAGACTTAAAAATAAGAAATGTTAAGATGCTCTCTTTCTCGTAGGTCTGTCAGATAATCCCAATGCCGGTAAATCACTTCCCGGTTGGCAGTACGATGACTACCGTGCATCTTTCTTCAGATGGTACATATTTCTACTGGATTTGGTCTCCTGCCAGCCTCAACGAAAAAACACCAAAAGGCCACTCTGTTTTTATGGATATTTTTGAACTTATAGTAAGCAAATTATGTTTTCTCTATAACTGGAGTTGATAGCATGACTACTGCTTAATTAAATATCAGCATCAAATCAATATATTAGGTTTGAGTATTGATGTGTGTAATCTGAATAGCTGTTTGTAATGTATTTATGAATTAACTTTTAACAGAAGGTGTATTGTTCAACTCTATCTTCAGAGGATGTATGACTATCATACTTCAGCAGTATGAATTGTCTTGTAACATAAAACATTTTATTTTAATTAGCAATTAAGCTTTATGCTGGGTCAGTAACTCAGTGTATTAGAATTTAAAGCATTGTTTACTGTGGATCTGCTTTATTGTGTTAAAAACCAATCAGGTCCCACAAGCTACAAATGCAATTGTTTTGTCTACAGTGCATTTTATAGCCTAAAATGCTATATGTTGAATGACAATCGTTGCTTTTAGTGTAAAAACAAATGCGTTTCAAAACAGTAAGTCTAGAGAAATGTCTCAGTAGTTTGTGTGTATATACATATAGATGCTTGCATTTGTATATGCATGTGTGTATTTTAATTTAACAGTAACGCAGCTCAGTCTGAAATTTTATTCATTTATATAGCAGAGCTTACAGCAATTCATAGACCTCTAGTATTGATAATTGAAATTGGACGAGGATTTAGCTTTGGGTGCAATGGCTGTGGATCTGCTCAGCAGCTGCTGTAGAGCAGCTGGACTTAGTGGGATGATGGAGCTGGAAGTGGTAGGCTATAGTAGTGCAACTTATGGAAAATGCCTAAGGCTGTAAATCAGACCTTCTCTTCGTTAGGAGGTGCATTCTTTAATAGTATATTCCCTGAAGATTCCAATCTAAGAAAAATCATAGCATCCCCTTTTTGCTGGCAAATGATTTAAAGGCCTCTTTTTACAAAACTTGCTAGTGAAACATCATTAAGAATACAGAGAGGTTAAATATTAAGTACAGTTCCATAAATAAGATTATGACAAGCAGTTCTGTCTTTGAGGACAGACAAAATAGAAGATATTATATTGAACCACAAAGTCACAAACAAAATAAATACTGATCTGTCTAGCTTTTATAAGACTATTTTTTGTGAGAAATTTTGCCAGCAGGGTTTGTTTGTATCCTATTTGGTGTATTGTATTGTTCAGTTTTAGTGTCAATTAAGGTAATCTGTCTCCTACGGATTTCAATATCTAAAAGTACTTTTTTTCCCCTCCGTTTTAATAGGTTGAAAACGGTGTATGTATAGCAAATCCTCTACAGGAACGAATTATATTAATGAGAAAAGAGGGTGAATCTGCCAAGAGTATAAACGAGATGCTTCTGAGTAGGCTGTCGAGGTACAGAGCCTCCCCGTCAGCAACACTGGCTGCTCTCACTGGCTCTACAATCTCCAATACACTGAAAGAGGACCAAGCAGGTCAGAAGAAGTTTTACTGATTCCCATTAATTTCTCATGTTTTGTTTCTTAACACATATTCTACTGGTTTTAGTAATTGCTAACCTCTTAGGACATGTAAAAAAAAAAAAGGTGGTTTTTTTCCCCCCCCCAAAATATATGCAGCTTTTGCTTAATGTTTGAATTAAGAGTTCCTTTGCTGAATTAGGCATTGATAATGAGAAAAGTTTAAGAATGAAAACCAGGAATAATACTTGTAGCATCCATTTTTTCCCCCATGTATTCAATTATAGCACTGCATTATGCCACATTTGATCAAACTGATAATTGTGTTTATCTGCTGGTAGTTCAGCTGGGCTTCTAACCATTATGTAAAAACGGACTGCAGTTTAGACAGTGAAACTATTGTTTCACAATTAAGTTGAATATTATAAATTGGAGATAATTCTGCTTTTATTGCGGTAATTTGAACAATATTTGGGTATTCTTCCATGGGCGTGCTGAAACTATCCAAGTTAGGGAACTGTGAATGGACAGCATTGATGGCTTTCAGGATGGTGTGGGGCTTTATAAGGCTTGTCTTAAGATTTCATTCAGCTTCCTGGATTACTTCTCTTCTTCCTTCAAATGTACATGAGTTTCTTTCTTCAATTTTAAACAATTAAAGATATTTCCATAAAAATAAATTATACAGGAGATAAATATGCTTGCAGGAAATTGGCAAAGAGTTAGCTTGAAGAGCTATTTTAAAGGCTGTATTTTGCCAGTTAACAACCAGAGTGCTACAGAAGAAGACGATGTGGTTATTCTTGGGCAATTCTTTAGTCAGTGCTCAGCAAAGTGTTGATCAGCTGTGGCAGGAGCTAGGTCGTTATGACTGTATACGTTTCATGGGGAGCAGGAGAACTTAAAATAGTAAATGCGTAGTGAATCTCAAATGATCTCTTTATGGTAAAAGATTGTTTGGCTCTAAGATACTGCTTTCAATATGTTTATCACCATAAATTCTTAAAACAGTTTTGTTTATACTTAAATTTAGGCTCCTAATTTGCCTGGTTTGATAACTAGAGAGAGCATCTGTCATTTGTTTTAGTGGCCAGCCCAACCCAAACCACGGCACTGTCTTTAGTTTTTAAGCTGTTCTCGTTACTTAAATGACCTGTGAAACTGTATCCTTCTTGGCCAGCCCAACCCAAACCACGGCAGTGTCTTTAGTTTTTAAGCTGTTCTTGCTACTTAAATGACCTGTGAAACTGTATCCTTCTGAGGATCGATGCTGAACGTGTGCAGTTGTGAGGCCATCTTTATATACAACTTCTTAAAGCAACTTCTAAACGCTGGAAAATGCAGCTTGAATGAATTTCCACATTGATTTCTTTGAAGTCCTAAATAAAAATTTGCCATGTGTGCTGCCTGTTATGAGTTTTTAATGTTGTGTTGTATTTTTCTGTTTAACGTTTCAGCTGCAAACACTAGCTGTGGGCTGCCACTGAAAGTATTAAGAAAGACTCCAATATACACATGTGGAACGTACCTGGTGATGTTGGTCCCACCCCCAGGTGGATCAGGCAGTTCTGCCACACGCTCACTCTTTGGAGGAACAAGTGCTTTGTCGTCTTTAAAAAGTAAGTCATATATATTTGTGACAGGTTTTAAATCCCTGGGTTTCTGAAATACATTAAACTTCTCAGAAATTTATTGGAGACTTTTTTCTATGTAGTTCTTGCTTCAAGCTTGGTGTTCAATATTTCGGATGGGCAGTTCACAAGCCGAGCAGATCTCATTGATGCTGCAGGAAGTTCACTTGGACGTGGTGCTCTAGTTCCAGGACTTGGTAAGAAGTACATGTCTTCTGTAAGAATATTTCAGAACTGGACCTATCCAACCCTTAGATTTTAAATAACCTATCTGGACTTTAAATTGCAGTTGTGTTAAGCAACTCCGCAGTTGGTGGGGTTTTGTGTCTATGGTGAAATTCTGTAAATTTCACATTTTTGAAAGTTCAGAATTCCCTGAAGGAATTTCCAGTATCTTGCTCATGCAAGTCATTTGAAACATGTAGGCAAATGGGTTATTTTTGAACTTTTAATATATGGTAAATGCCTCTATCCTAGAACAGTTGTATCTATAATCCGCTCATCCCTTTCCTTTTACTGTGTTGGACCTGCTTGTGTTTGTAGCTGTAAGCTTTTTCAGGAGCTAAGTTTCTTAAGTTAAAGGGTTTTTTAACACTTGCACTGTGCAAACCATCAATTTTATTAAAGCTATTATGTTTTTACCACAAGGCCTTTCAAACAAGTTCTAAGGTGCTTAATTGACGATAGCTGTAGTAAAATAAATCTGAAACTTTTTTCCCTCCTACTTTTTCTAGAAGTTACTAGTATCTGATGCCAGACTCAACTATTTTTAGTTTAGACACTGTGGCAGCGTGTGATAAGTTTGTGGAGGTATGACATATATGATGTACTTATGCTTAGAAATAACGAACACTGGAGTATTTGCCTGAAACTGTTCCTGTTACACGTTTACTTGAAACATCGAAAGGGATGTGCATTTGCTTCATTCCTTTATTAAGAAATCTCCTTCAAGTGTTTTTCATTCCAGTGCAGTGTTACTAAATTGCTGTGATGTGACAGAGAACTTTTAAAGCAAATAACTTGGATTTATATCTACTATAAAAATATTTTACTTTGGTTTTCTAACAAACGTTCTAAAATCTGATGTGTGAAATATTTTCCTTTTCTTAGGTGCCTGTTATGATACTATGAATAACATGATATGGACGTGCTCTAATGATTATATTGATCAGTGGTGTAATCCCGGGAACCAGGCATTCCATTGTGTCTGTCAGAGACTGGGAGTGAGTCATGTCATTACAGAACCCAAAGGTGAGCTAAACATACAAGTCAGCATTTTATACAAAATGGAAGTGAAATATACGATTATCGTAGAATAAATATGCAGAAACCACCATCTGAAACTTTCTATTAAAAGTTGAGTTCATTCTTGGAAGGTTGTTTATAAATACTGGTCATGGTTTATCTTTGTTTTAAGAAAGGAAAAAGGAAAAGCAAGAAGTGTTTGGAAGTTTGCAGATTCTTGCTAACTTTAGCACATTAAAAAAGTGATGAGGGTAATTTTTTTGTTTATCATGTGGACAGGTGTCCTGAAGTTAGAGGAGATGATGTGATGATATATTGCATTTTGAAAGCAGATGTTAGTGCTCTAGTTTGTGTTTGTAGACAGCATTTGAACCACTTTTCTTCTTCTAGGGGATGCAACAACCACGAATGAGGTTATTAACCAGTTACTGCACCATGTTGGTGCCATGTGTATCCACCAACTCAACCTGCTTGCAGCCAGCAACAATCTTCCCATAACAAATTTTTTGGGCAAACAACATCCAATTGAAGCCCATCATCTCAGCAGTATTTGTGACATTATGGAGAAAGCTATGGTGAATGGAGATACTTGTATAATTCGCTGCATCCTTGTTGTCTTTCAGGTATGAGGGCATCTTAAATGTACTTCTTCACAATAAATACTGAAAAAAAAACTTGTTTTAGAATGCAGGCAACCACTTGATTAGTTTTTAGGTTTTTTTTCTTCATTGCATTTGACCAAGCAGTGGCTTTGTTGTATTTTATACAGCCATTTAGGCAACCACTGGATTAGTTTTTAGGTTTTTTTTTTCTTTGTTGCATTTGACCAAGTAGTGGCTTTGTTGTATTTTATACAGCCATTTAAGAGTCCTAGTTTAAATGTAATTGCCACCTTTATAGATCAAAATAACATCCAGAGAGTTTACTTGCTTCTTTCTTTCTTTTTTTCTTATTTTTCCTCCCAAGGGGGTGGAAAAAGAGAAAGGGCTTCTCTCTTTCCTAAAGTGCTAGCCCAAATTTTGGGAGTCCAAAGTCGCTTTCTGACTCTCAGACTTTTGTGACCTAGACAAATGGTTAGAGAAGCTGACTACAGAAAATGAGTTAAAGTGAGCAATGTTTAAGTTTTTAATATTGTTGTGTTTAATTTCTCTTAGGTGGTTTTTAAATTTTTCTTCAGCCCACAAACTGAAAGAAACAGAGATATTGTTAGAAGGTCTGGCCTACTGCTTTGGCAGTTACTGATGGCACCAAGGGATCAGATTTGCTCTGAAATTCAGAAGGAGGTTTGCCTGGCTATTAGGTGAATATCTGTATTGTCAAATTAAACTTAACGTACATTGTAGATTATTTGAAAATGTTGTTACAGGTGAACATTGTCATTGTATTCAGCAGTTTAATTTTAAATTAATACGATAAAATTTAGGTTGACATAGTATGATGAGGTTATTACAGTTTGTATCTGTGCAAGAAGGGAAATGCAAGGTGTTTGTCAAGATAACAGTGATATAACAGAGTAATTTCTTTCCATACTTCATTTGCTGCTTTTTATTGGCTTGCTTAAGGGTTTTTTAATGTTCATTGCAATACAGCTGCTAAATTCTGGCAAAGTTTTCTGCAGTTCAGTGATGGCTAGTGGGACTGCCATACTTTGCCATAAGCTAAGTTAATGTTGTCAATACTGACAATATTGAAATTCTCCTAAACAAAAGGAATGTGAGGGGAAGCAGAGTGAATAATACTTGAAGAATGCTAGAAGATTGAAGACACGGGGGAAAACACTGGCAGGGTAGTTAGAGAGTCTGGAGAAAGTCAGGTTTATGTTTAGAAAATGGGAATCTGTTTTGGTAGAAGGGTGGGCATTGTGCCTCTGGGCTGGTACAACAGGTCATCGAACACTTTAACAGGATGGTTGCTTGAGCTCCACATCATATTAGCTACTGCATCTCTTGAACCTGATGCTGTGTAATTTCCTTTCTCTGGCTTGTCAAAATAGCAGAATGACTAAGTACAGGGAAGTGAGCAAAGAGTGTGATTGTGTATCACGAAAATGAGATAATGTAAATCTCAAGGACAAGGAACGCTGTCTCAAACGTCCTAAGTACAAATATAATCTGCTTTCAAGTGGGAAGTGCTCCAAAGGTTGAGAACAAAATCTTCTGAAGATCAACCTGCATTTTTTGTGTGCGAATCACGACATTCCAAATTTCAGTGGCTTTATGCAGCTCTAAGTTAGTGAAGAAGAGTAGCGTATCTTTAGTATGATTATCTAGCATTTTCAGGTTAGTTTTTGACAAGGAACAGTGTATCCTGTCACCTGTATGCACAGCTGCTGCACTTTTCCCTTCTTTAACCCTATATCCTTCAATGACTTGTGGAAAAAAATTTCAGAGGTGGGGATTAGGTAATATCCCCTTCCTCCTGTTTTCTCATTGTGAGACTCTGATACTAATGAAAAACTCAAACTCAGCTTGCAGTGTCTGATAACTTTTCCTGATGTGTGTATCACAAGTTGGTCAGCATGAGCCAGAGGGAGGGAAGCTGCAATAATCTCTGCTCTCAGTGTGAAGCTGAAAAACACACCAGTTTTCTTTTCTGAGAGTGTTATTTAAAAAGAAAAGGGAAAAAGAGGAGGAAAAAAAAAGAAAAAGTCTGAAATAATAGTTTCAACACTGCAGACAGTCACGAAGTACTCATTTTAAGTTATTGTGATTTTCTATCTTGATGTGGTAATTCATGTAGAAAGGACAAAGTTCATCACAAGTTAGAGAGGAAAAATATCTTCACAAGGAGTATTTATGCATAGCTGTGTTGTTTCTGAAATGCTAGTTCTAGAATCTTCTGTGTAGTTTAAGCTAAGACTTCTATAAGGAGCCAGTCTTTAATAAGTATAAAACTGTAACAGTAGTGGCTACTTGATTGCTGTCTCTTGCATTTTCCATTTTTATTATCACAGAAAAGTCACGGCTATTATCCCATCACTGGAGTTCTCTAAGCCCTCATCAATTTTATTTTTTTTTCCTGACATCTGTCTGTTTCTTGAAAAAATGAGTGTTCTGTCACACATAGGAGTGATTAGTGTGGAGTTTCTTAGAGGAAAGCTCTTAAAGAAGCCTTGGTGCCTAAACAGTAAAATATACTTGATTGCAGGAGATTTCCGGAGAAAGCATCTGTATATTTTATGACCAATACAAATGTTATGTGTACAGAGGATTCCTTTCTAGGTTGGAAGAAGCTATTACATAGTCATTCTAAATGTTACATCATACACTAAGCTGAGATTCTGTCACACCATTTTTCATGTGTCCATTGAAATTATTTTGTTCACTTCTAAATGCATTTAGTAATACATGGTTTTATTTTTTTCTTTAGCTCTGGTTTAAATATACTGTATCCTGGTGAAGCAGAAATCAATAATTTATTGAAATTGGTCTTAACTGAAGGTGAGAATATCTTATTGACGTGTGAGAGTATGTTGTTTTTTTTTCTAACTGAAAACAAAAAGTGAAAATACTTCTGAACTCTGGAGGGAGAACAGTTCAGAATATTAGTCTGCTTTAAACCTTTCCTATTCTAGGAAATTCAGAACGCTTTAAATTCAGAAGCTGCCTTCTGAATGGCTGCATGGTCAAATGTATGGAAGGTGTAGGAAAGGAAAATTTGTCTCAAGCAGGCAGCTGTTAGAAATCAAAAAGGATTAAAGTTCTGTTTTGTCACTATTAATAATGTTTCTTGGCCAGGTTGTATTTTAGAACACCTAGTTAGCAGTTAGTGTAACCTGTGGCAATTACACAGTAACCAGAAGTAATTTTAGCCCTCGATGAAAGAGTAATAATCTACTTGCATTCCCGGTGAAATGGGAGCCTGGACTTAGAAGCAGCTGATTCACAGTAATTTGTTACTTCGTAGGAACGTGTTCGTGCGTCAAGGTCTTTGGAATTTAAAACAGTGCTGTGTGCAGAGTAAGTTTTAACAGTCTGTAATACCAACAGGGAATCAGGTTACACTGTCAATATAGTAATTTCTGAGAAGTAGCATGTATTAAGCAAGATATCTGAGGAAACAAAAATAAATTAATTCTGTAAAATGCTGCTTTGCAAAAGTTTTTTGCATTCCATTTTAGGAGAGAGAAATAGCGGTCTGTCTCAACTTCGTGACGTTATCCTGACCAATTTAGCTGAACAACTTCAGAACAACAGATTTGGAAGTGAAGATGATGATCATTATAGGTAAAACACAACAATATGCTCTCCTCCTCCCCACTTACATATGGTTTTGTTATTTGCTTTAGATAAACTTGCATACAATTCTGCTGAAATTGCTTGTTATCTCACTGGCAGTGTGACCTGAAATACTATCTCTGTGTCCATAGTGGGTGGAATTTCATTAGGGCAAGGGGGAGAGAGGTTTGATATTTTAGGGGAAACTTTGGAGACTTCTGTACCCAGGCTTAGTTTCGTATTCCCTGCTACTTACCATCTATATGGTAAATGTGGATGATCATTCATAAATACAAAATTGTGACATTGTTCTCTGTGTCACTATTAGGTGACTTCTCAACAGTAAAACTGTCAATCTCAAGTACCTGTTCAAGTTGAGTATTTTTTTAGGGGTCATTAGATGTCATAAATTTATATCAGCACAGCCCAGGGAGTCACTGGTGCATTGATTGTTGTCAGGCTTTTCAGACTTGGTTTTCTTTGTGTCTGAATCTCTGAAGTAGAACAGATACTTGTTTTGGGTTCCCATAGTTTGTGATACAGCTTGCAGGGACTTCTGAGGTGAGCTATACAAAATACACCATAATTAGACTATTAACATTTGACATCTTTCTTGCATTTTTTGAAGGCTAAATGATGAGCTGTTGCACTACATTCTCAAGATTGTTGTCCGAGAATCTTGTGTCTTAATCACCAAGTGCCAAACTGTATCTAAAGATGATTTTCAAAGGCTTCTTTCAACTGTGCCTGTAAGTAAAATGTACTTTGATAAAAGTATATTTGCCTTTGGCTTCTTCTCCTCCTTAAATCCAGCATCTTCACTGAGTATGTTGAGGTGGAACTTTTATAGTCGTGTGTCTTAACAAATACAGGAAAAGAATGTCTTTAGTTTATTCCGTGCAGAGAAGGAAGAAACCATTTCTTAGAGCAAAGTAAATCATACAGTAATGATAAAACAGGTGTATATGTGGATACAGCATTATCTTTTAAGAATTAGTTAGTGTTACAGTACTTGAATATTACTATAATGTTACATACTTGAATAAAATGGTGCTGCTTCTTTATATGTGTCACAAATTATTTCATAAAATTCAGTGTTTTCAACTAGTTTCTTCTCTTAAATATGTATTAACAAGCTTGTGTCAAATGAGCAAAAAAATAATTCTGTTTAAGGGAAATTATTTTTTGCTTTTGCTTGTCCTCTCCCTCAACTTTTTTCCTTTTTTACATTTCAAAGTACAAGGATTGCCTGAATCAAGGTTGACTAAAAGGGTTTAGATAATGTAAAGTGTGCTTATTTATGTTAAAGGCTGCATCTTCATGTTTGCGGTATCTGATGGCTGTACAGAACCACCTCCTCAGTAACACTATTTTGATTAAACCTGATGAAAATGATGACAGTGACAGCTCCTTGCAGGGAGAGACATTGAAGGTACAGGTAAACACCAAGTTTTATTCTAGTATGGCTCTCTACAGTCAGTGTTTCTGTGACACCTCTGCTTTCTGCAGTGCATTCTACTTATGCTGTTTTGTTGGTTCTTTTCCTCTTGGTATAGTTAAATTACTGTAGACAGTTTTTTCTTCTTCTCCAGTTAAAGTCTGCAGTTGTTCTGTGTTCAGTATTGCACCTTGGGTTCTATATTGTCAGTGAGAGCAGACACTTCCCTTCCTAGGTTCTGTTTTCAGTATTGCACCTTGGGTTCTATCTTGTCAGTGAGAGCAGACACTTCCCTTCCTAAATATACATATAATAAGATTTAAAACGTATACTAATTAATACATGCTAATAAGAAAATTCATGTGCCAGGAACCCTTTCTGGACACATTACTCTCCCACTGTCTCTTCTCCAAATCACTTAGGTGATCCTTGAAAAAATATTTTTCAGATTTAAATTGGAAAGGGTTTTCTTCTTTGCCTGACCTGGCTTCTGCTTTTTTGCAATTTTAACTTATAAAGCTTATGTAGAACCATCTACATCTGTTGACTGAAATACCGTGAATAGGATTTGTGGCAAAGAAAGTGTTAGAGGACGAGGTTTGCAGACAGTGGTTGTTTTGTTGGTATAAGGGTTATTAAAATGGTGTCATTTCATGTTACTGCTGGAATAGTCTTGAATGAACTCACAGAAGCCAGATTTGTCCTAGTGTGCAGGCTGTATTCTCATAGTGGTTTTTGTAACAGTAACAATTCCTCTATAATGGTATTGATTTCTGAATTTCTGGTATTGTTTGTTTGTTAAGCTGGTTTTGTCTGCTGCTCATTGAGACTTTGTGTGCTTGTAATCTGTTGCAGTTGAAAGTTATTTGTTCAGGCTCATTGAGTAAATGCTAAATATTGTAGTACTTTTCTTGTCTCGCTATTCACCCATGTTTTCATTGTTCAGTTTCTCTCTCTACAGTGATCCTCATACCTGCTAGGACATTCTGTCACCAATGCTGTACCTTGGCTGGCTGACAGCTCTCTCCTGTGCTGGACTTGGGGATTCCTTCCCTCTAGAAACTGGATGTGCATCCTGTAAAATATGCACCTAGTTTCTCCCAGCACTTTGGGGCTTAGCATTAATCAAATTTAAGTCTTGGATGAATCTACTGCTGCAGGCCTGCCAGGTCACATTATCATTATTTTAATTTGGAAATCCATCATTTTGTTCTGTTGTTCTTTTTTTTTTTTTTTTTTTTTTTGTGTTCTCTAAGAATTTAAGTATCCTGTAACCCTTTTTATACCTAGGAGCTGAAGACCAGCATTTTGTCTCTTGCTACACAAATTCTGACAGGATGCGATGAAGTCTTAGAAATGCTGCAACAAGTCACTACAGCACTAATTAACAGTGACATTTCTGATAGAGAGCAAAGGTAAGACAAGCAGTAGTATGCTGACTTGAAAACACTAATCTGTTGCCTTTTTGTTGCTTCTTGTCCAAGTCCAGTTACCACTACTTATTCTTTTTAACTTCATGCTTGAGCTTTGCATGGGATGTAAACAAAAAGCTGTGAATCTTTTCTCTCATTAAACAAATACCTCCCTCTCCCAGTTGTGTTTGGGGTTCTATCTGTGCCTGCAAGATTAGTTTTGTTTATTGACAATACACAGTTCCTTCGGGATATTTTCAGATGGCCTTCACGCTCAAATGTATTTCTGTAGGTAGAGATTCTTTTGAAATACTTTGAGCTATGTGTGCTAGGAGCCTGATACACATCCTGAACAAATACATTCATGTTTGATGCACACTTTAATCCTGTGCTCATGGGAGCTTATAATTTTTTTTAAGTAATTACTGAACTCTTGATTTACTGCCTTGTCTATCATTGTTTAATGAGAATTGACAGGAAATACTAGGATACTAACGCTTTGGAGAAATTGTAATATTTTCAGGATGGTAGGATTGGCTGGTTTCCTTTTTTAAATATAATGGAAGTGTTCACTGCTAAATTTTGAATTGCTTATTTATGCAGTCTTTTACAAGATTAAACAGATGACTAAAAATAGTAGTGATACTCTCTGAAAATAGTTGTTACTTTGTAAACCTTGACTCTCCTTACAGATTAAAAGGCCTGGAGCAAATTACGAAGGCTACTATGCTTGGTCATCTGCTTCCTGTCCTACTGACATCTCTGATGCATCCAAATTTGCAAACTCTAACTATGGCTGATGCCTTGATGCCTCAGCTTGTGCAGCTGGTTCTTTACACAAGTCAGGTACGGTCTTTGTGTTTGTCAGCAGTTGTCTACAAAGCAAAAAAGATGTGGTGTGCATGTTCTAACAGGCTTGGTCAACTTTGATCTTGGTCAGCTTTCTGCAGTGAGTGATCCACAGGTCATAGTTTAAGAATTGCTCAACAGCTACAACAGCTGATAAGGCTGAGTATTAAACTTGGCATGGTACAGCAACTGCTAAGTCGTGATTTATTGTCAATGACAACATACAGTGTGATTGTTAATATAGCTCAATAACGAGGTCTTAAAATGATTTACTGTTCTCATGTTTCTAATGCTGGTTATTTTGTGCCACAGACTGCTCTGCTGCTTAAAACTCAGTCTCCAGTTTTCTCAGAACTGAACAGTTCCCCCAGTGGGGCATCAGAGCAGAAAGGGAAGCTGTTACCTGATGAGAGGTGATTTTCTTTACATTTGGGTCTTTTCAGGGGATAAAATATCTTAACTGTAATGTTCAACTGTCTTAGAGATAGATAAGGCTTTACAAAAGGCAATTAGTTGCAAAATTTTTGTGCATATAAAAATGAAATGATTACTATATTCAGGTTGGTTGCACAGGGTATGGTTTGTTTGTTCTCTTTTCCCTTGCCTCAAGCATTAGAAATTGATTCTAAATGTTCCTCTTACAATAAATTAGGCTAAGGAAGACCGTCATGAGTTAATTGCTTTGGCAGCATGAGATACGGTCTTAAAACCGTTGGAAAGATACTGTTTCATTTACATATAGATATGTAATGATTTTTTAAATCCTGCATTTATATCTTGTGTCTCAGCTGAAAGTTATACAGTTTCTGCTTAGAAACAGAAGCACAGCTAAACTAAATAAAAAATGCCTATCGTAGCTATTTGCTGTTTAATTGTTTAATTTGCTGTTTAATTTGTAGTGTTAAACAACTTGTGATAACGAGTAATATACTGTGTTAAAAATCTGAAGAATGCAGAATTTGTAGTGTTAAACAACTTGAGATAACAAGTAATATACTGTGTTAAAAATCTGAAGAATGTATTTTCAGTCTTCCTCCAAATTATAAGCTTTGGTGAAATATTAGGCATATTGTTTTATGACAGCATAATAGTTTTGGATGCTCTCCAAGGAGGGAAGTTTATTTTATACTACCAGTCATGTGTTAGAATCCATATATAGTACTATTTACCTTTTTATGGTGGTACTTAGCTTGTTTACCATCATCTGGAAAAAGGGAAGCACAGGGAAAAATTCAGATTTTACAGGTTAGAGATTGGTAGTTATTTCTACACAGTTTATGCTGTTGAAGTTCTACATGTTCCCTCAGTGCAGTTATGCCTAAAAGGGGGAGTCAGTACTTTGTGTCATATGTATCAATGCTGAGAGGTGATTTTAAGTCCTTCATAGTTTGATGTGTGAATATATAGTAGAAATATGTGTGTTGAGTTTTAGGACTATTCTTTCACTTTAAATTTCAGAATGCTGGAAGAGAAAGAAGAACCAGGTTTTCTTACTGGTTTAAAGATCCCTGCTCCCTGGGCTGCTGGGAAGACTGTAGAAACAGTTCACCCCGTCAGGGATAACTATAAATTTAAAGAAACTGTACATATTCCAGGAGCCCGCTGTTTATATCTTAGATTTGACAACAGATGTTCTTCACAATATGATTACGATAAGGTAAGCAAGGGCCAATTCAGAAATTCTTTCTTTTGTATATAGTTCCATCAGCAGCACTTCCCATTTTCATCTTTTCTGCCCCTTGTCTTTCATGACCCCTTGTTTCCAGTGATCAGGGTAATGCAGGAGGTTTTTAATGATAGGAGCTTATTAGTGTACACTGTAATGTCACAGTCCACTTCAAGGCTGTAAAGTGCAGGGATGCAGAGAGGTTATTTCATGTGTGGCACAAGTGTGAATAACTTTTGAAAAGAATTCTTGAGTTTCATCTTCTGTTACATGTATGTTTAACATAACATGTACAAAGAATTATATGTGGAAAGGCAGGAAGATGAAAATAAGTGGTTCATGTTTAATTTCTATTATTCTTGAAGAAACAATCGAAAAAGGATGCTTAATCCAATGCTTAATTCTTCTGTATTGTGTCAGAGCATAATATCTAGTGATTGTTTCAATGTTTAAAATCTATCAGTTATGAGGATCTTCTGTTAAGAGTGAGGCTCTGTAATTAGGAAGTTTCCTGAAAAGATGTCAGAAGTAGTGGTAGTTATGAAATAGGAGAAATATAGTAGGCCCCAGAGGTGTGTGGGAGTTTGTTTTGTTGGGGGTTTTTTGTTGTATTTTTTTCTCCCCCTCAGATACTCATAACAACTCTTCCATTTTTATTTTTTTTAATAGTTCATATCATGATTGCTTGGATCAGCACAGTTTATTTAAATCAGGCAGAACTGAAAGGGTTACTTTTTCCTTCCAATGATAAATGGCTTGTTTACGTGGATTAACATGAGCAAAGATTTTCAATTTCAAGAGCACAGTTAATAACACTTACTTTGGATAATCAGGGAGCTACTTGTGCTCCTTACTAATTGTTGCCATATGTTCCTCACCATAGAGCAAGTCCTGTGATGCTCACTCCTGCTAGTTATTTATAAGTGTCTTTTAATATTAGTATCACCCATTACTGGTTAAACTCCTTCAGAAAACTTCGAGCCTTGTCATCTTCCTAGAGAAGTCACTGACAAATCATTAACTTCGATGAGAGCAGGAGTGATCCAGTTATTAGTAGAGACAGTATGTTCTATTAGCTCCACGTGAGGACTGGAAGTTAGGATCTCTCCTGACTTTTGCTCCCGGTTCTGTTGCTGACTTGCTGTGTGACCTTGGGGGCAAGTCACTCAATTTCCTCTCTGCCTCAGTTTCCCCATCTGTAAAATGGGGATAATAATACTTGCCTGCTCACCTCACAGGGCTGTTGTGAGGATTTGTTAATGTTGATAAAGCGCTTTGAAAATATAAAGCGCGGTGTAAGTGCTAAGTATTATTATTATTATTAGATTTTCTTGTTTTTCTCTTACAGTCTAACAGTGTATTTTATGTTTTGAAGTTGGTGATCTATGCTGGTCCTAACACAAACAGTAGGAAGGTTGCTGAGTATGGAGGCAATACACTGGGATATGGCAGCCGTAGTGTCTTAGGAACTGGTTGGCCGAAAGACTTAGTAAAGGTACAGTATTATAATCCAACAATATTTCACATAGAAAAATCCCCCTTGGAAACCATGTCGAGTCCATTTGAACCCTTATAGCAATGAAGTCCAAGCTTTTAAGTGTACAGTTATCCATGATTCATAAGTGGGCTGTTATGTCCTTGGGGGATAACTTTAAACTCAACTGTATGTTGTGTGTGATGCTTCTCTTCGATCTTACCTTGTTTTGTTATGTCTTACTGGAATTTCTTATCAGTGTGTTTCAGTCCCGGAGTCTCTAATGGCACTGCTGGTCTCATAAGCATATCTTCCTGGGAGAAATTCTTGCACAGTCTGAGGCTGTGCATATTTTATTAAGGTTCATGGTCATGACTGCATTTTTTTAATACTAGCCCACAAATACAACAAGTAGTAAAAGTAGCAAGTTTCCAACCATTTGTGTCGGGCTTCAAAATTACATTGGATGCTGTTGACAGTAAAGCTAAGACAGAAAAATCCCTCAAACTTCTTGAAACATCATTATTTTAAGAATTTTATAGTATGTTCCCTCACATTGCATGCAGTATGATTATTTTTTTTTCTTACAAGTTTGTGCTGCTATACTATGCCACACTAAAACTGGGCTTATAACAAAAGAATTTCAAAAAGGAAAACAAGAAGTAATAAACGGGAAAGCCATTTCAGACAAGCGCTCCATTGTTCATAATTAATGGAATTTCATTGATTTTTCAGACATAGATTTTTATACTGGTCAGACAAGCGCTCCTTAATTAATGGAATTTGATTGATTTTTCAGACATAGATTTTTATACTGCTCTTTCAGCAAAATCTTCTATTAATGTGTTGACATTCCTCTCCTTTAAGAGCTTGTCTGTCTTCCGTGAGGAAGAGAACTGTTGATTTTTGCATGGTTTCTTGCAGACAAACAATGAAAACATTTTGATGAAAATCAAGGCCAAGTAACACAGACTGATAAATTCTACTTTTGATTCTACAACTACGGTGGTTTGTTTTGTTTTACTGTAGTTAGCCAGCAGCAAAATTAAAATCAAATTGTCCGCTAAAAGATATCCTTACAAAAAGGGAAGAATCTTAAATCAAAATATATAACCGGAGATAAAAATAATACTTAAATAACTGTCATTAAAAACATTAATCCATAAAATAAGCCACTTTAATGAAAAGCCTGTTTGTTTGCCTCAATTCTTAAATGTATCTTCTTTGTTTTTTTCCCCCTCCTCTCCATCAAAATTTTAAGGTGGAAGGAGATACAGTCACCTTCTCCTTTGAAATGCGGAGTGGGCGTGAGCACAACACTCCAGACAAAGCCATGTGGGGCTTTGCTTGCACTGTCCGAGCACAGGTACTCAAACACGACAGATTCCATGGCGTAGGTTCAGCTTCAGATCAAATGGAAATGTACTCCAAAGTTGGACGTTGACGTTTGAAATTTAAAACAGTAATAGCTTGCTTATTTTGGCAATAAAACAATTGGTCCTTTTACGGTGGAAAGGACCTAAGTTTTAGACGTTTGGCTTCCTTAGCTGGAGATACCCTGTGGCATGGTCTGTACCTTGCTTAGGGTTTTATGGAGATAGATATTACCAAATATATCTTACCTATCTCTTGTCGTTGGCACTGGGCTTGGATGAAGTCGCTTTAATGTCTCTTGCTGCTTGTAGATCAGGATAGCTTTGAAGAGATGGGTTATCCTTAACAAACTGGAAATCAGAGATTTAATTGAGGGGGTGGTGACTCCAGCCTATAAAAAAAAAAAGAGAGGGGAGGGACGCTGGGGTCAGACAAAAGGAAACTTAAATCCCACTACCAGGAAGCTAGAGCTAGGTCTGTGAGATGACAGATCTGCAGGCCAGAAAATGACTGAACCAAAAATAACTTCACCTTTTCTTTTCTTTCTTGGTTCAGGATAATAATGCTTAAATCCTTTGTTTCTTGTCTTGAGTTGTACTTATATATTGCTTTAAATTCTTAAAGCATTTTTTCAACATACATCTGTGTAAGAGACGTGAGAGCTATATATATCTTTATATATAAGATTATATATAAAAATATAAAATCTCTTATCTTGAAATATATTGGGGAAGGAGTTCATGGTTGTTTGAGTGCAACTTATCACTATTCCTACTACAGGAGTCTTCAGAGGACGTGTCAGGAGGTTTGCCATTCTTAGTTGACCTGGCACTTGGCCTCTCTGTGTTAGCTTGTTCTATGCTGCGAATATTATACAATGGACCAGAAATTACCAAAGATGAAGAAACCTGTCAAGAGCTCTTAAGATCTAAACTATTACAAAGGTAAAAAACAGCATTAATCTAAGTTTCTATGTGGGTTTTCTTCTGAGGGGAGGTGACTTGAGTAGTTGTGCTCGAGTCTATTTTAAGGTGATTGTTTTCAGAGTAAGTGGAGGAGGTTTGGACTATGTATGCTTGGTACCAGACACTCTTAAAGGCTGCAATTAATATGTTAATATGTACTCTGTCCTTGTAATGTGTTGTTGACTAACATGTCTTTCTGAATGAGGGAGAAGAGTTAGGAAAAAATAGTAATTAAAAATCCTTTTTTTTCCTTTTTATTTTTCCAGGTGCCAGTGGCAGGTGGAAGCAAATGGTGTAATATCTCCAGCCCTTACACCAAGTCCTTCTCCATTGCCTCTTACTATAGATGAAGATAGAGAATTTACATATCCTTCTGATGTTCTCGTGCCTCCTGTTGGACACTATTTTGATTTGCCTAGGATTAGGCTGCCTCCAGGAATCATGATAAAACTCAGGGAAATTTCTGGACGTGCTCGGCCTCAATTTAGACCCAGTATAAAGTAAGTAGTTATTGTTTTGCTCTATTTTTCTAAATTAACTTCTATTTTTTGAAAAGTTTGGTGCCAAAGTGTGTGAGCTAAAAAAGCAATGACAAAGATGCAGCATTCCTGTCATGTATGTATTTAATATTCTGTAAATACTTGTTTGTGAATGCATTATCTAGTGAATTGTAAATAGGAATTGTCAAAGTTTGTCTGTTATTCTTGTTTAATCAGTTTGGCTTTCCCTATAACCCTAGGGAAGTGATTCAGCCAGAAGTAATGGAGGAGATGGTAGTTTCATGTGTGATTAAACATTTGAATTTGGTTGACGCACTCCAGTCCCTGATAAATTTCCAGTATCAGGAAGAACATGCCGAAGAATATGATTTACTTTGTAAAATTATGGGAGAGACTTTTAAGAAGCTAAATGCCATGGAGAGACAATTGCAGGTAAAAATAAAATTACATAAAATAGAAGGCTTTCTTTGAGAATGAAGGTGTATTATCAGTGTTTCAGAAACACAAATACGAAATGTACTCAGATTTCTTCTTTTAAGATCTCATCTACTTCTTAAGATCAGCTGCAGTAAGTATTGCTTTTTTTTTTTCTTCTCTTTAGAGTGTGGCTGAGCTGGAACAGAAGTGGCAGAGTGAGGTAGATGACGCCATGCATGGGAAGCTGGAGAACAATATCCCATTCTTTTATGACTATCACTTCAATGAGGTAACTGTTGTGGCTGTTGGGGGGGCTCCTGCTTCATGCTGCTCTCTGTCAAACGCATTCTTCCTTTTCCTTCACTTTGTTTAGAGCAAGATGAAAGAACTAGAACTTCTGTGTTCAATGAAAGAAGTTTCTTTTGACGGAAGCGATCTGGAGAATGTGGTCCTGGCATTAAGGTTAGTAGCTGGCTGGGGAAGGTACCATTTAGGCAAGGTATTAAGAAACGGGGAACTTTAAGCAGCTGTGGAATTCCAGTGAGTTCCAAAAGTAGGTATGTGGGCTTAAAGTCACGGACATACTTAAAAGCTTATTGAAGTAGGCACTTGAATCTCATTGTACCCTGTGCTACTTAATGATGTGAAGCAGAAGCTGACACTAAATGTTTTGAAAACATTTTATGGCTAATTCCATTAAAGGCTGGTAGGTCTATAGAAAGAAAACAATCTTTGAGGGCAGGAACGTTCAGGTCAACTTCTAACGAGGGATGCAAATACTTTAAAACTTATTTTTCCTGTCTGTATAGAAGACCTGATTAAGTTGTTACAAACACTTGTGCTAAATATATTGATATTAGTACCTACAGCTATAAGTACTTAATAACAAATCACTTGTTTATTTCTTTAATTTTTTTCTGCTTCCTACTTTTTGGCATAGAACAGATGGATGCTGTATGCCTTCTTTAAAATAACCTTTCTCACAACAGCACTTTATTTCAGAAGGTATGAAAACATAATTGAGTTTGCTTCTTGTATTTTTCTTTCATAATCCTAGGGAGAAGTTTTTTCAAGAGGTGAATTCACTGATACAAAAGACTTCTCATCACTTATCAAAAACAAAAACATTAGTTAAGAGCTTGATGAACAGAGCTGAGCTGTTATTACACGTCACTATTGCAGCACAGTCTGGTATCACAAGAAGTATATCTGGCACCCCTGCAGAGACTCCAGGTATATATCTCATTACCAGCATTGTACTTTTGTTTTTTTTTTCTAAAGATAGAATGTATTCCTTTTCTCTTATTTTCCCTTAAAATTAAACCTTTTTTTTTTTTACTTTTTCAAATTAAATAAATTCTTTTACAGTAAATGAAACTGAGTCTTTGTTTTCTGATTGCCATAATGATGGTAACTTAACGTCCAAGTAGTAATACATGGAATTGAAACTTTAGTCTCCTGAATTATTGGAAAAAAATGCTTAACCCAATCAAAACAAAACTAACTTGAAACAATACCTGAAAACAGGAAAGTCCTCAGAATTGAGCTGCGGATTTTTTCTTAGACTGTTACATGTTTTGTAATAGCTTTCATTTGGAATGTCCACAGTGATTTTTAAAAGCAGTTTGTAAATAACCTCCTACACCAGGAGTGACATTTTCATATTGTATAATATCACAGCCTGTAAATCAGCATCTGAAACAAAAGTCATCTCTCACGCCGTCCGCCAGCCCGTCTTCCTTCGCAGTATGTCGGCACCGTCCGACCTAGAAATGATTGGCAACGAAGACATCGAGTTTACTAGATCGAGTCAAAGGTATGCAATGGTTTATTCACTGAGCTGCTTTACAGTGATGTGGCCTGTGTTGTTAAAATCATCCTAGCGCTTTGGTTTTTTTCATTGGATGAGTTTCCAGCTGCAGGTGTAATTATCCTGCCTTCTCGTAGGCGCCGCCACGTCACCAGCCACAGAAGCAGCTCTTTCACTCTTCTCCAGTCGCTGACCATTGAGGACAGCAGAGATAAACCCACGTACAGCGTCCTGCTGGGGCAGCTCTTTGCTTTCATCGGAACAAACCCCGACCAAGCGGTACGTCACTTCTATTTTCAAATTGGGACTTTCACAAAGAAGGGAGGTGCCTTGTCTCATTAACAAACCCAAACAAAATCCCCCAGGTATCCAGTAGCAGTTTCCTGCTGGCAGCTCAGACACGGTGGCGACGTGGGAACACGAGGAAGCAAGCCCTGGTGCACATGAGGGAGCTGCTGACAGCGGCGGTTCGGGTCGGTGGCGTGACACATCTTGTAGGCCCAGTGACCATGGTACTTCAGGGAGGACCCAGGTTTGTTTATTTCTCTGAAAATAATCAAATGTTCTGGTCTCTGTAGAGAAGAACTGTGAGAAGTGACTAAGTGTGAGGGCTCCAGTTTGCAGAACAAAGCTTGCAACAGCCAGTTTGGCCTTTGTAGGGTAAAATGGTAGAAACTTCTAAGAAATGCTTTTATTTGGCTGTAGATTAAATTTGCCTTCATACTGGAATGACATGTCCAAAAATATGTATGTAGGGTATCTTACTGTCCTGAATTAATTCTAAATTCATGTTCATTAGGTAGTAGATTTAGCTGATAACTAATACTGTCATCTAAATTTGATAAATATTTAGCTTGTAGTTAAACTACCATACTGTCTTGCTTACATATGTTTCATATTAAAGCATTGAGTAACTTGCACGTTTGCTTCTAAATCTTCCTTGAGTAATTCTTAATATCTGCTACTTTTTATTTTGTTTCAAAAGCTGTATTTGGAAGTTTGCTCGTTTTATTTAACATAGAAAGTCTACCATTTCAAATATCTTAACTACCAACAGAATTGAAGAGCTCACGTGTGGTGGGATGGTGGAACAAGTCCAGGAAGCTTTTGGAGAGACCATGACGTCTGTGGTCTCACTGTGTGCTCGCTACCCCATTGCTTGTGCAAACAGCATTGGCCTCTTGTGCACTATACCTTACACAAGGTATGACAGTGTTTCCTTCAGAAAGGGAAGGAGGGCATCTACAACTGTCCTTAGTAGGTTTTGCCTTAAGGAGAAGTATTAATATACTCCCTTTGTCCATAATGAGGACTATCTGAGAACATCCTGTTAAATTTTCTCAGAACGCAGAATTTCATCTGGGGAGGACAAGGGGGAGATAGAACCATCTTTCCACAAATTGGAGTAATTACTTAGTGAGTTAACAGCAAGTTGTGAATTTTCATTGTATCTGTTGTTAGCGACTTAAAAGTTACTGAAGTAAAATCTGAATTTCTCTTCCCCTACAGGAGCGAGGAGAAGTGTTTGGTACGGAGTGGCCTGGTACAACTTATGGACCGGCTTTGCAGTTTAAGCAGCCAGACAGAATCCAGTTCCAATGAAAAACAGACAAAGAAACAGAAGGTGGCCACCATGGCTTGGGCTGCCTTCCAGGTGCTAGCCAATCGCTGTGTTGAATGGGAGAAAGAAGAAGGTAGGAATGCTGCCAAATATATTTCTACTGTGTGCTTCAGAATGGCCCAAGTGCCTGAGAAGGGGTGTAAATGAATTTTAAATAGGCCATTCACTCACCGTGACTTCAGTACTGTGTGGATTCTAAAGAATACACAAATGGATACAAAAATAAGTTGATTTTCTTCTCGTTGTTTTGGTTTTTTTAATTCTATCTTTTTTTATCCTCATGGGAGTGTTTATGTTGCATATAATTTCAAGTCTACCACTTGGCTCTGTCTAGACATAACCAGAGAACACGGAGACCCTGAGTGGTCATGTAAACATTTCTCCTGTGTTGGCATTCACCCATAACATACATAAATTTACAGACGTGGCTATTGGCTAATGAGACACAGATGTTGTATCAGATTTTATTTTTAATTGAAGACATTTTATATATAAAAGTTTTTCTATAGCAAAACAAAAATTATTTTTTTTCAGCTTATGGGTAAGGAATTTGTAGATGTGTACATTCTTTTTTTGTTCCTTACAGTTGTATGTTCTTGCATTGCTTTTAAGGTGGTTCAACAGAAGCTGTTCACTCTGGTCTGGCTCGCCAGGTCTCCAGCCTTCTTACCAACCACCTCGCACGAGCTACGGAGTGTTGTGGGAATCAAGCTGCAGGAAATGATGCGCTTCAAGATGTTCTCAGTCTTCTTAATGACCTCTCAAGGTACTAGGCCTTCATCTCTGGAGTATTTTTTTTCTGTGTATGAAAGCAGATGGGGGTGAGGATTTTTTTTTATAGTAGTAAAGGTAAGATAATTTCAAAGAACATTCTAAAACTTGATTATAAACTGACAATTACTCAATCAGTGCTATCAGGTTATGTAAGAATTGTTGCAGATAAAATTTTGTCAGATGTTGAAATTTTTGTAAATTGCATCTTGTCAGTAATAACTTAATTTGTTTTTAGTTCCAAGACTATCATGGAACAATCAATAGTTACCTGTTTTTTCCCCTTTCAGGAGTCACATTGGTAAAGCAATCCTCAGCCAGCCAGCCTGTGTGTCCAAGCTTCTGTCGCTTCTCCTGGATCAGCGTCCCTCTCCAAAGCTGGTGCTTATAATCCTCCAGTTGTGTCGTGCTGCGTTGCCTCTCATGAGTGTTGAGGACTGTGGAAACGTGGAATTGCCTCCCTGGAGTTACTCGGTCCCCTCTCTGAACAGTGAACAGGATGATCCCAGTGACCCAGCCTCCAAGATTGCCTCGCTGCTGCTGGCAAAGCTGGCGGATTATGTCGTACCAGGTACCAGTATCTTTTTGGTGTCATGCTAATTTGAGAAAGTGCCAGGCAAGGCATGTTTCTGTGAAGTATTCTGTATTGACAGAAAGCTCAAGTTGGAAAAGTTGGAAAAGGTCTATGTCAGTGGTGAGAGACAGGATATATCTGTGACTTTCCATCTGCCTCTTAATTTAACTGTTCTCAGACTAAGGTGTGTGTCGCAGCGGTGTTTTAGGTGTATTTTGCGTGTGTTAGCATTAGTTTCAAAGGCAAGAAAGTTTGTTGATGAAGCTCATTTCTGTATGATTTTCTTTGGTTTGTTTTTTTTTTCCTTTCTACTTCAAGGGTGCCAGACAGTTCTTTCTCCAACCGCCTCTGAGCCAGATACTACTTTGGCAAAAGCCAGCCCTAAAAATTCCATAAAAGGCGATAAGGATCCTGGAGAAGAAAGTGAGGCAGTGGATGGAAAACTTTCTATTTTTATTCATAAGCGGGAAGACCAGTCATCCCATGAAGTCCTTCAGCCATTGCTAAGGTAATCTTAACTCACTGGATTGGAATTAGCAACCAGTTTTGCCAATAACATTTCTTTTTTGTAGTGTTATAGCTGTAGAAAAATGCATCCTAGACATACTAATAAATGCGAAAGCAAAATGTCTTCCCAGTTTGTTGCCTTTACTGGCAAAATAATAAGATAATGCAAAAATGGTTTATAGGGCTGATGCTTAGCGTGCTGTTACCTGGATAAAAACGTGTGCCACGATGCTGAACTGGTGGTGAGGCAGCAGCAGGGAGAATCTAAATCCCAGTGCTTCCTGGCCGTGGCTGTTTTGTAGAAGACAACGATGATGAGAGCAGCAAAGCTGAAACAGCAATGTACACAGATGTATAAAAGGAGGAGGGGGAAATGAAGTGTGATGTTTTAATTTTGGCTTGAGTACCAGCCGTGTAAGCCACTAGCAAAGGAACATAAAAACATCTTAATCTGGAAACAATCACGTGCAAAAATAGCTACTTAATGATACTCCATCAGAAAAACTGGATGTACCTTGTTATGCTATTGCAGACCAACAAATTTAACTTATATAACTATCAAAGCAAAATGGCTTTAAAAGCATAGCTTTTAATAATGCATGCACTGGATAATAATTTGCTATTACAGCTTCTTTAGTATTCTTAGTACCCACCTGGATTTTGCGATCTCTGAATGTCCAACAGCCAATGGTATCACCTCTTGTAATTTGTACTATTTCATCTTCCCTCAGTCAAAGTTTATTTTGAACCCATGCCCTAAAAATGATACTAAAAGGTAGAGCTGTTGGGTGTTCTTCGGTGAAAGGTCAACTTGGATCTCTCAGGCATTTGTGTTCAGTAAAATCCAATTTTAGAATACTTTTTCAGGGGGGAAGGGTTAAATTGCTATGCAAATAATTATGTTCAATAGTATTAAATTCCTCTTGTACAATGCAATTGGGTATGATCCTTAACTATAAAACATTTCTGTTATTGTTAAGCAATTCAGTTGCAAGGGTTGCTTTCAAATAATTTAAAACCATGTGTAATGTATTAAATTGGACCATATAGTTCAGTTATTTTTTCCGCCAGTGGAAACAAAGCTAATGTGTTTTGTTTTCACTGTAATAGTAGCTCAGAAGGTCGTCCATTCCGACTTGGAACTGGAGCCAATATGGAGAAAGTAGTGAAAATGGATCGAGACATGACAAAAGTAAGAAAAGGAATTACTAAAGCATTATTTAACACTCTAAAAACCAGTGGCTGGTCAGAATTCTTGTTTTTTACCGATGTTAAATCCCCTTTGTTAAATCTTGTTTAATTTACAAAGCTGTTCAGAAAGATAACTTTACAGGTAATTTTAGCATTATATAGTTGTTAATATAAATACAAAGATAAATGATGAAAAAGATTTCAGCTAAGGCTTCCTCCAGCTGTTAAAGATCATGTTTTAAGCCCCTTTAGTCTCTTTCCTGAACTGTTTAATGCATGTTGATAGTATGAATTTTAAACCACATATTTAAATTGAATTTTCATTTCTATTTTCCGACAAGTTCTTGAGTATTTGCACCAGAAATACTCAGGTGTGGCTTTTTGATCAGGGAAGAGGAACTATACTGTTAAGCTAAGAACGGAATATTAGAGACAATGAATCCACATTGATCTCTGATCTCTTTGTAGATAAGAAAAGATATGTCTTATGACTGTGACTAATCCATACACGGGAGGATGTTTTGATGTGTTCTCAGTACTTTTACATATGCAGAGGGAGGAGAGTTAAATACGTCACATAGTGTGGCCAAATATTGCTAACATTAGTATTTGTCTTATATGGCAATTTTATTTTCAGAGTGGCTGCTGTGAAGTTATTACAGAAGAAGCTGCTGCAGCTCTTCGAAAGGCAACTAAGTGGGCACAGTCGGGTCTAATAGTTAGTGTTGGGCCTCCCATAGAAACAGTCAATCCAGAAACTACCAGTGGGTTGTCCACTGGGGACAAAAAGAAGACTGCCCAAACATCTATTTGCAGAGAGAGGAATTCTGAGCTTGCCAGGTAGGTCACTTCGATTCTATACTTAGTCTAGATTCTGCTTTTCTATATACCGGTATTTGTAGTGCTCTAGAAAAAATAATCATCTCCATTTTCTTAAACTTCCCTTTTTGGTGCTGTATATTGTGGTTGACAACTGAAGCTGCTTCTTCTCTTGTTTTGAAATTAATGGGCAAATTGCTTTCTTCTGCGTAGGACGGATCCTGTGAGGCCGTTCATTAGTGGTCACGTTGCAAACAGCATGGCAGCCGAGGTGATCGCTTTGCTCCATAGCTTGTTGATGGCACCCGAATCAAATGCAGCTCAGATATGGACAACTACTGCTGAAAAGGTAAGCAAACAAAAGATTATCAAATTCTACACCAAGCACGTATTGAGTAGTTAAGAGAACATAATTATTAGCAAATTCCTAAGCTATTTCTTTCCGATAGTAAGCAAACAGAAGATTAAGTATCAAATTCTACACCAAGCATGTATTGAGTAGTTAAGAGAACGTAATTATTAGCAAATTCCTAAGCTATTTCTTTCCGATTTGCTACTTCCAGCACTTCAAACTGGGATGTGCATAGAAGCAGCCCTTTCTAGTAGATAATGTCTATCTGATGTCTGAGGGTGGAATAAGTAATCAAAAATTATCCAGCATTAAAGAACGTGTTGTCATTCTGTAACTAACCTGTCATTTTTTCCCAGTGCTTAATAATGCTGTTTGTTTAGGGGAGTTATCTTGCCTTTGCCAGGCAGTTATTCTGCCTTTGCTATTCAGTCCTCTCTGCCATGACCTCTTGGGGTCTAAAGTGTTGGCTGGAAATTACAGCGTGTTGCTTTTATATTATGCTGAATTTTCTCTAGCACCTAATCTGTTGCTTAGACTAAATCCTTGAGTGAAGACTATTGCGAAGATTATATATGTAACACTGATTCTAAAAGTTATTAGGGAATGGAGCTGGCTTTGATGGTGTTCACACTTCAGAGACCTTAGAATCTTCTGAGTTACATAATTCTCTTCAAGAACAAAAATAATTCTTCTGAGACTGTGTGTGGGCTGGAGGCTTGGGGCGTTGGTTTTTGTTTGAATTGTGCTTTGAAGTCATTCTCTGGTATTTTTGCTTCTGTCTTCAGGTTCTGTCTCGGGCTCTGATGTACATTCCACAACTTGGGAAATATGCAGAGAGCATTTTGGAGAATGGGAGTAGCAGTGGAAGGAAACTTGCCAAACTTCAAAGAATTGCTCGGCAGGCAGTAGCTGCCCTTTGTGCTCTGGGTGGCTTTAAGGAGACCATTAAAATAGGTTCTGAAGTTCAGGTAATTCAGAGCCATTCACATTTTATGTCTTAAATGACAATTGGTGCTTTTGAGGATGTTTTACCTGCATTAATACCCTTGCCAAGCAGTTGCAATAACACTTGTGGAGACTGCTATTGTATGTTATTCCTGCTTCCTAAAATACCCAGCTCTAATTGTGCACTGAGTTGGTGTGTGGTGCTAAAGACTCAGTGTTTCTTGTTTGAAAAGCCTTAAATCTTACGCAGACCTTCTTTGGTTGTAGGTTTTAGGTAAAGGAATAGCAGGAAGTATTGGAGTTGTGGCATCTATTAATGAACAAGAAGGTATAGCAACGGTCAAATTTCCACCTACCAGTATAGACAGTAGAAAGACCTCACAAGCATCAGACACATTAACTATTCCATTATCTAGGCTCTGTGTTCCAAGATCTGAGGTACGGTAGTTTTAAGAATCCAATATAAAGTATAATATCAATTATTTAATTTTTTTTTTGTCACAGCATACTGGCAATTAATCTACAGCATGTAAAAAGTCTGTTTCATCTTTGATTATTTGTAAAGTTTGCCTCATTGTTTTAAACCTATCTTAACAGTATCTATATTTAAGTTCGCATTCAAGTAACATGGATATTCATCTCTTGGTGCTTAAAGATGTTCTGTTGCATACTGTGTTGTGGGTTTTGGTTTTGTTTCTGTTTTTTTTCTTTTTTTGACTGATGTTTGGTGCTGGTTTTGTGATAGTACAAAATAAGAATTAACTCCAGGTAATAAAACGCCCTCATTTCTTAGAAACTAACTACTTGAATTTAACTTTTTACCGTGCCCCCCCACCATCAGGCATTGCCTCTTCATAAACTGTCCATTACTGAGAAGGTAGTACAGGCAGTCCAGTCCATGTTGCTTCCTCAGGAGGGAAGTCTATCTATTCACACCTCACTTCCTGCAACAGGAGATGGCTCAACTCCAGTAATGGCAGTGGTGCGGCTTCTTGCTGAAATAAGAACCAGGTGAGTTGTTGGGTTTTGTGCCACGTCTCAGTCTGTTGTGATACTGTACACAAATGTTCAAGAAAATTGCATGGGTTCTTGTTTTCTTCTCTGTGGGTACTGACACATGACAGCAGGGAATGGTGCAAAAATCCTTTTTTTTGCTTCCTGAAGTACATTTGGTGTCTAGATGTTGTTAAAATGAGCACCAAAAATAAAGTGCCCTCTGTAACACTGACAACGCATTGAGCAAATGCTTCATTTAAGTAAATGTTATGAAGTAGAGGAAAGCTGTTGTTGTAGAAGTTCCAGTGGATAGCTAAGCAACCTGACAAAGAAATAGATCAGTTGGCGTGCTGTCTTTTAACATAGTCTTGAATTCAATACATGTAAAGAGAACTTTGAATTCAGCATGCACTTTTGTAATGCTTTAAACGTATTATTTTTCCGTTAAGAGCATGCCTGGTGATGGCTCAGCTGTTAGAAGACAGCTCATTCTGTGAAGAATTCATTCAACAGTGTCCAGCTGCTGTAGAAGTTCTTAATTTGGTAGCGCAGGAGTGTAGCCCTGGTAGGTATTCAATGTGTTCTTGTAGCTTTATTGTCATATTCAGTTCAGAACATAACAGCTTTTGAAGCCATTTCAGTGTTTTGTCCTCCAGCTACTTAGAGTTTGATCGCCAGCACGGTACAGCATGTCTTGTCATAGCTGCAGAGCTCTTAACACAAGAATAGCTAATCATCAGACTAAAGAATTTTAAACATTAGGCATAAAGTTTAGGCCAGAATATGATCACACTGTGCATCACAGAAGATGCAAGTCCTGGGACTAGCTCTCTGCTACTGTGCTTCTGAACCATCTCCACTTCTCTTGCTTCCACTGTAACCTACTCTGTATTCCTTGACTTTATTGCTTATATGGGCTTTTTTGACCTTTTCGCTGTTTATTTACAATGCTTTCTTATACTCCTTATCATTGAGCTCTGTCTTGTGTAAGGATAAGCAGTGGGCCCAGAAAAGTCTTAGTTCAAGGGCAAGTTTCAGGAACATGTCAGAACCTTTCACTGGAGAAAAAGGGGCTGAAGTGAAGGATGTTAGGGTAGGAACCCAATGGATTTTGGTACGGTCTCCAGTGTAAAAGGAACCGTACTGATTTTTTGATAGTAGGCATAAATTTTTTTGACTTCCTGCTTTTGCTGGGTCAAAAAATTGCCCACTAAAACGAACCTTTTCTGTTTGGTTAGCAAAGACATTGTTATGTTGAGATAAATTAAACATGACAAAAACAATTGTTTGTGTACATTTAGGTTTTGTTCTTAATTTTGTTCATCAGGTAAGTGAGACTATTTGATCAGATCTCTGCAAATATCATGTTTGTTTCTCTTTACTAGTATTAAGATTGCATGGCTGGACTCAAGTAACTCGATTTGCTTGGGACCTCATGACTTGGTTTGGTTTCTTGTTACAGGGGAGAGGCTCCTTGTTGTAGAAATGCAATGTGAAAGGTTACGAATGTTGTATCGTGACTGTGCTCGACCTCCCCCTCCTCCACTCCAAGCAGACAGAAGGCAGGTGAGCACAGAAAGGGCACTGATTCCTCTGCCCCTTGCAAATGAAACCAGTCCCTGAGTGCAGAGGGTCTGTCTGTGGGCTTGGAGCCAAACTGGTTGGATTCTTAGTTAAACATTCCATGTACTGTGAATTTCTCTAATGGGGTGTGCTTTGCAGTGGTTGCAGTTGTGGTAGTTGTACGTGTTGTATTAAATGTGTGTTTCGTAAAAGAATGTGTCATTGGTTTTCAGTAGATGACTTCAGCTGTAATCAGTAGAATAAAATGCTTTGTTCCTGTTTGTAGCCCAAGGAAATCACTTGGAGCCCATCAAGAGTGTTTCCCCCCGTGCGAGCGTGTATGTTCTCATCCCATCTCACAGCTGTGACCTTTTTGGCTGATCCTAGTGCGGGTGGGGGACTCCCTCGGGGCACATTTATCTATGCCACTTCACCAGTTCCAGTCCAGGTAAGAACTCACAACTCAACAACAGTTTGTGTCATTTAATATTCAATAGTGCATGAAAGAAAAAGAAAGAAAATTTTCTATTTTACCTATGTTTTGTAAACAATTAAAAAAAGGCTATTGTTTTTATTTCTAGGCACCATCATTCTACTGGGAAATTGAAATAGTTTCCTATGGGGATACAGATGATGACACTGGACCCATAGTTTCGTTTGGATTTGCTACAGAAGCTGAAAAACGGGATGGTGCTTGGACAAATCCAGTGGGGACCTGTCTTTTTCACAAGTACATTGGAGATATACATCAAAAATCATTACTTTGCTCAGTACATTTGTAATCTCCTTGGGGGGAGTATTACGAGCACTTTGTAGCAGGCAAATTGTATATCTTAATTGACATATTAAAATGATGAACTGGGATATCTCCTAATCAAAATAAGGAGAGCTGAGTTGCCGTTTGTCAGTATTGGGGCTCCTTAGGCTTCAGCTGGTAGTGAGTTGTAATCCTTATTTGTTTCAGTGCTCTCTTTAATTCTCTTTTTGTGTTATTCTCAGCAATGGGCGAGCAGTGCATTACAATGGCTCCAGCTTGCTGCAGTGGAAGAGCGTTCGATTGGATGTGACTCTTTCTCCTGGTATGTAAGAGTGCAGCTGACTTGCTTATCTAGTAAATCAGAAAATCCCCTGAATGTAAGGGAAACAGCGGATGAGAAAACAGATTAAATCCATATTCTTCTTTTGATTTTATTTTTCTACAGGTGATGTAGCAGGCATTGGATGGGAAAGAACAGAAGGAACTCCACCCCCCCCAGGGCAGCCAGCTAAAGGCAGAGTTTATTTTACGTATTGTGGGCAGCGACTTGGGCCATATCTAGAAGATGTCTCTGGTGGAATGTGGCCAGTTGTCCACATTCAGAAAAAGGCAAGTTTTTAACAGAATATGTTGCTTGATATATAATCTTTCAGAAACATTAAAAACTGTATACAAAGTATTGAGCCTGGTTACCTATCTGTAAAAAAAAAAAATAAAAATAGTGATAGTTTTTACCTTTATTGAGTTAGTTTAAAGTATTCCATTACCCTTCCCAGGTACATATTTTGTCATTATTTTAAACTTTTCCTGCCCAGTAGGACAGTAATGTGCCGCTGTAAAAAAAAAAAATAGTGATAGTTTTTACCTTTATTGAGTTAGTTTAAAGTATTCCATTACCCTTCCCAGGTACATATTTTGTCATTATTTTAAACTTTTCCTGCCCAGTAGGACAGTAACGTGCTGCTGGTCTGATGAGATGGCATTATTCTGTGCTAGTGGCCCTTCTGCTGAGAAAGAATACTAACAGTGACCTTGCTTCAAAGTGTGCTACCTAAGTATGCTTTATCTTGAAGCTAGAAAAAAGACAAGTTCAAAGTTTGTGTTTAGAAGCTTAATACTTTCCCCTGCTGCAGCCAGTTTTATAGCCAGCAACGCTGGGAAAACCGAAAGGCACGGAGATGTGATCAGCTCATCCCTCTGGCTGAGGTTTTTTTTTTTTTTAAAAAAAGAGCAAAGAGAAGGATCAAAACAATCCGTAACTCATCTTAATGCTTTCATGTGCATCTTCTTTCAGAACACAAAAGTCCGTGCTAACTTTGGATCTCGCCAGTTTGCCTATGCTGAGGGGCAGGCTCACAGGAACGCTGCCGATCTCTGCATCGACCTCGCTGAAGAAATAAGCGCCAACTTTGAAGCGTTGCCTTTCGCTATGGCTTCTGACAGCGATAACGACGCTGGCACCAGCATCGCTTCTGATCCTGGCACCCACGGACCTCCCTGTAGAATTGCTGCTGTTGCTACAGCTCAACAACGTAAAGTGATGATTCATGTTTTTTTTTTTTATAAAAAAAATCTCTTTCAGGAGAAATGGCAATCAATTAAATAGGATTTAAGCGCATCCTGGCTGCAGTCCTTGGGTGCTGCCTGTTTAGGTAAAATACATGCTTATTTATTTTTTTTTTGAAAAATAATCTCTTTCAGGAGAAATTGCAATCAATTAAATAGGATTTAAGCACATCCTGGCTGCAGTCCTTGGGTACTGCCTGTTTAGGTAAAATACATGCTTATTTAATTTTTAGACAAGGTAATTAAAAAAAATTAAAAACATCTCACTTTATTCTTCATTTATATGGATGCGCAGGTTATTTTCAACTAGTGTAAATGTTATGAAAAATTATCTTATTAGGGCTTTGAATACAGTAAGATATTATAGTTGATTGAATCAACCAATTGGTTTCTCTGTCAGAATGCATTACGTTTCCACAGACTGACTGGAGACCATGGAATATTTCTGCACACCTCTGCGTTATGATCTCATTATTTCCATATGCATTTGCACACCTCTGTTGCGTTATGATCTCATTATTTCCATATGCATTTTGCAGAGTATGACAGTGACACATCTTGCCACTATAAAATGGAACTGAGCTACGAGAACTTCATCACATCAGGCCCCGATCCCCATCCCCCTCCTATTGCGGATGATGAGAGTGATGATGATGATGATGATGACATTCCCCGGGTGAGGAAGGTGGCAGGCTCTGCCTGCTGTAACTTGTAGTCTAAATACACACCTTGCTGTTCAAAGTTTCAAGCTTTGCCACGCAAGGGCTTTCCTTGCTTTCTTAAGGAAAATATAGCTATTGTTATCTTTTTTATCTTTTTGGTGTTCTAAATGACTTTTGTCTTTGTAGGAGGATCACTATGCCCTGTTGGTTAAAGCCTGGGAAACTAAAGTTTTCCCTACAATTAGAAGAAGATTCCGTAATGAGGCTGAGAGGAAGTCTGGCTTGGATCAGATTAAAGGAGCTTTACAGTTAGGTATGGCTATGTTTGTTTCCGTGCATCTTGTTTTATATGATGTGCAGTTAGTGTGAAGATAACACCTGTGTTTCTTATGTTTTACTGTATTCAAGGCTGGAAAATTTAAATTAAAAAAAAAGTTCACTTGCTGTTTTCATCAAGTTCTTAAAATTTGTTCTGTTGTCATGATTTTTCGTTAACAGTTTTACTTAAGTTGGACCATTTAAACAGGGGAAAGTGGTTTTAGAAATAGGGGCAGAATTAATTGTGCTGTTGTGATGTGGATGCAGAAATATTTTGGAATAACAATTTGGGAAGAAACTATCTGTGTACATTTTCTGTCTATGACTGTATCAATGCAAAACTTCTGAGAAGCACTTTAATAAGGGGGAAGTTGTAAATGAATACAGTTCTGACAACCTGTTTGTGAGGAAGTAACAGTAAGAGCAAAGTAAGAATTTTGAGCTGTAACGAGAAGCATATAAGTGTGTCTCAGGAAAGTTCCACTCCCTATCTATCAACCTAACTAAAAGAATATTTAAGTAATTAGCTCTTACTAACATCATAAGCAGATGAGCTTATTTCAAGTAGCTGGGGAAAATAACTAGCACTCCCTTCTGTCTGCCAGGAATGGTTGATATAGCGCGACAAACTGTAGAATTCCTCTACGAGGAAAATGGTGGCATCCCAAGAGACCTCTACCTTCCGACTATCGAGGATATCAAAGATGAAGCAAACAAATTTACAATTGATAAAGTTCGAAAAGGTAAGGTCAGAAAAAAAGTACCTTGAGGGGAAAATAAAGCTATGGGGCTCTAGTACCTGGAATCTACTGTATAAATTGTCAGTCTGAAAAAAATGCTGGGGTTTTTTTAAAATGTAATTTTGTTGTCCTTTTCTGCCCAGGTCTCACAGTGGTGACTCGCTCTCCTGACAGTAACAACGTTACCAGTAGTGCTGTTGGAACAGCTTTGCCCAAGTTTGCTATTCGGGGGATGCTGAAGACATTTGGTCTTCATGGTGTCGTCCTGGATGTTGATTCAGTGAGTAAAGATACATTGGGAAGGCTTTTAATGCATCAGCATCACAGATCTGTGAGCAAATATATTTAAGTGTACTCCACTGCTTAGAAAGCTGGTTTTGATTCTCTTTTTGAAGGAAAAAACCTATTATGATCATTCCTGGGTTTATTGAGAGTCTTGGTTTTGGTGTTCCAGGTAAATGAATTGGTACAAGTAGAGACATACCTCAGAAGTGAAGGAGTCCTGGTACGGTACTGGTATCCTATTGACATGTTGGAAAGGCCACCTGCTGGTTATAGGAGGACTGCGACAAATGGACTGGTTACCCTGGATAATACCAATATCCAAATTCACAGGTAAAAAAAAGGAAGGTGTTTGTATTATCTGACTTGATCTAGAGCGTTTCCTGTAGTAAACAACTGTACTTGTTTTGAGCAGGAGTAAACTCCTGAATTTTATTGTAGTTGTTGGATTAAAGTCCACAGGTAAAAAAAGAAAGGCGTTTGTATTATCTGACTTGATCTAGAGCATTTCCTGTAGTAAACAATTGTACTTGTTTTGAGCAGGAGTAAACTTCTGAATTTTATTGTAGTTGTTGGATTAAAGTTGACAAAGATTGAATGTTTTTATACATGCTGGTCTAACAGGTGCCTTCCTTGAAGCTGAGGTTTCTTGTACCACCATTCAGGTGCTATCTAAAAGCTCAAGAACTCCTAACTGACTTTGTGGAGAGTTGGCTTCTAATTCAGGTGCCTTAATTTGAATTAAATGGGCTAAGTGCTACCTTAATTGAATAAGAAAGATTTTGGTCTACCTGAACCTTTTAAATAAGAAAAATTTAGGCATATATGTTTAGATTCAGGGACAGGTTACTGGATATGGCTTATTTTAAGTGTGGTGAAGCAGTTTTATGTTTTGATGTTTGTGTTTTCTAGAGAGCTTTTGCGAAGTGAAGCTTCTCTGGCCAAGCTGTACTGCCGCATGGCGCTCCTCAACATTTTTGCCCCCAAATCTCCACACATGTTTACTCGCCTCTTTCACATTCCTGCTATCCGTGATATCACCCTGGAGCACCTGCAGTTGCTCTCCAACCAGCTCCTTGCACCACCTCTTCCTGGTAAACACTATTTTTTGTGGTATTTTTTTATCACAGCTGTTTTTTGGTACAGTAGTTTTCTGGTGACAAAAAAAAAAATCTAACCATTTTGGCACTTATTGATTAATTAGCTAATAATGATGGGATTTGAAAAAATGTCTCAATGGACTCCTTACCTTAGTGATAGGGTACTAACCTGAAATTCTTGCTAATGATCTAATTAAGTGTCCAAAAGGGGTGAGAGGCCCTCCTAAGGCTCCATTCAGTCTGCTTCTCTCTCTTTGTCATTGGCAAGCTTCTGTTTGGGGGGGCAAGTGTCCGTATGGATACTTTAAAACATTCTCAATTCCTTTCTAGTTTGAATTCAGGGTAGTAAAACTAAATGCCACTTGGGTCTGAGTTCTCAAAATTCAACTCTTCTTCATTTCACAAAGTGGTTTGTCCTTTTCCTACTGGAATCACAGATCTGATTAGTGCTGAATCATGGAAAAGAATCTTTGGCTAATTCAAGTGAGTGTTAGCAAAGACAATTATCGTGACAAAGCTCTTCTGCATGCAAAGAAATGTGTGTAACGTGGCTGGAGCATACGGAGGATGTAGGAAGTGCTAAATATAGGCTAATAATAACTGAAAGTAATTATTTACCATTGGAAAGAGTCCTGTTCCCTCCTCCAATTACTCTGCAACTTGGCTACCTCTAACAGATGCCGCATTGTAAAAGATGCTCTTGCAGAGTACAGCACTACTTTGCATGGCTTTAAGATCATTTTACAAGCTTTTATTTATTTTTCCCTTCTTTAAAATATGTCTAATTCAAGTCCTGCTAATACATACAGTTTCCAAACTGGTGTTTTGGTGAATTGCCCACTCCTTTGCCCACTGCACTTTGTCTTTCTTTGACTTCTCCCATGAGCTCCAGAATGACAGCCATGACACGCCGGGGCTTGTGACCCATTTGGGGCCACCCAGAAGTTATATAGCTCATATACTGGGAAAGCCTGAGAACAGATAAAGCCACTTTCACTTCATCTAGAATGAGTGGGAAGAGTGTGGTTCTGGTCGTAGTGACACAATAAATTGAAATACCCCTGCCTTTGTAATTGGGACAAAATGAGGCAGTGTGAACCCACAGCTCTGTGTGGGGATGGCAGGCCTCCTTCAGGGCTGGTTTAAGGCAGGAGGAGAATGCAGCTGGCATTTAGAGCTCCATCCCATCTGCAACCAACCAAGCTTGGTCTTGGGAGGATCCTTTCTACTGCTGACCTTTCAGAGGAGGTTTGCACTGGCTCAGGAGTGAAAGTAGAGGCTTGTAGTCTCTTCCAAGTCTTTTAAAACTTCTCTTTCTTCTGTCTGTTTCACAGGCTACGTGAACATGTTGAAGTGATCTCCAAATTTGTCTTATTTTACTTGTTATTACAGATGGAACGATCAGTTCAAGTTCCATTCTTCTGGCCCAGTCCCTGCAGCACTGTGTCCATTCCCAGAACTGCGCTGCCACAGACCTCTTCTACCAGGGCAATTCACAAGCCATCAGAGAGTGGCTTACTGTGGCCATCACTCGGACACTGCATCAAGGAGAGGAGAGTCTCTTAGACCTCACTAAACAGATCTGCTCCTTTTTGCAGGTAAAATAGTTAGTAATGTTTTATAAGCAGTTTTGGTTTTCTTTCCAAGGAGCCCTTGCTTTTTGTGTGATTCTGACTTCCATAGTACTGTCCATCACACTGAATTATTTCTCTAGGTAACTTGTGTTCCTATTCTGATCACAGCGAGCACGCTGAAAACACAAGCAATAGCAATACTCTGGATTGTGTTAAAATAAAGTGGCCTCCCTCTATGTCATTATTTACAATGCTATATTTTATTTGGAAAAAAAAAATGGGGAGGGCTGTGGTTGGTGCTGCAGCTTGGGGGCTTTCATTGTGAAATGCTGTGTTACAGACGGCACCAGAACAGTTTCCTGCTGAAGAATTCCCAATTTCAGAATCCAAAGTCAATATGGATGTTAATTTTCCTGGGGCTGCGTTTGTAATTGTGTCCTGTAAGGAAAGTCAGTCCGGATTCCGCAAAGAGTAAGTAATTGAGGAGCTAAGAGTGGCAAAGATTGAAGATGTGTCACTGAGCATCTCTGAACCCTGAGTGTGAAGGTGCTCATTTTTTTATATTTTTCTCTTCTCAGAGACTCTTTTTTTTGGGGCGGTTGGATAAATACTGCAGAGTGTTTAATCTTTCTGTGGTTGGGTTGGGATTTTTAGTTGTTAGCTACAGTCTCACTGAACTGTTCTTGCTCTCTTCTTAGTTCATCCCTGTATAAAGCTCCTTGGGCTCGAGTGCTTGTCTATGGACTGGGGCATAAAGTGAAAAGGAATGGTCAGTTAAACCTGATCGAAGCGGTGTGTTATCCTCGAGATGCTTCTCCCACCAACACGGGCCTAACGCCTCCCCCAACAACCAATCAGTACCCTTCAGTGATCACCCCTACGGACAAGGTCCACATCAAACTAGGTAAAAACAAATGTAACAACAACAACAAAAAAACCAAGCCCAAAACTTGTTAATTGTATTCTGAGAAGTGAGACAAAAATCATCATTGCCTCTGTAGGAGCTTCCTATCTTGTCTCCTGAACCAAACCCAAAACTTCTTAACTGTGTTCTCAGAAGTGAGACAAACATCATCATTACCTCTGTAGGAGCTTCCTATCTTGTCTCCTGCCCTGCCATTGTTTTTTGTACAAGATATTAAGAAATGTGTCCTAGCACAAATATGCCATCATTCTGAACCAAACGGGCATGGTTTCGTAAATGTTGGGAGCTACCTGACTATGATTTTGTTAGTTCTGTTAAATCCATCTGGACCTGTGCTGTTCTCTGATTTTTGTCTTCCAGGAGCTCACAAAGCTGTGTTTTTGAATATTTCTGCAGTGGTCAAATTGATGCTAGAGCTGTTTGAGCTGCTGTCTTGCAGATAGAGATTGGAGATTATTTTTTTGTTTGTTTGCTTTTGCAGGTGATTGTAGAGCCCTTTAATACACAGAGTAATATATGTGCAGTATAGTAATACATAGGTCATTCCAGCTTCTCAAGCAAGAGGAATAATTCATATTCTTTTTACCCTTCCAGCCAAAGGGAGAGACAGGGTGATTTATTTCGAGTAGTGAAGGTGACTGAGCTGCAATAAGCTCTTGAAGACCTTCAATGGAAAGTTTTAAGTTTTCTTGCTCAGCTACAGCACCTGCTGATCAGACACATCATGCTACAAATAAATGGTTTTGTGAAAGTCATGTATGTATTTAGATATGTACAGGCTAAAAATAGTTCTATTTCATATGTCATGTAAACAAAATGTTACCTGTACATTTATAACTATAGATTGTATCAACTTATCATTATAGATAAACATCCTTATTTGTTTATTACAAGGGACTTAATAGAGAAAATTCTCACTTAGCGTAAATTCAGCCTAAAAAAAAAAAATCTTAAAAGCTGTTACTACTTTTACTTTACAAATACCTGGAGTTGTGATAAGTATTTTCTTTGACTTTTTTACCTAGGAGTTTCTCCTCCTCCTGGAGCTGTGTTGGTCCTGCATTCTCTTCCCCTTGAATTCCCCCTGGCGATGGCATTCACAGAACAGCTGTTAACTTGGAAATTGGAAGATGGGGATGGCAAATCAGAAGATGAACTGGATACAATTCCTGCTTCAGTTCTCTTGCAAGTAGTGGAATTTTTAGGTGAGAATGCAGCATTTACTTAGTAATGTGCACCTATAACGTGCTGGCTCAGATGGAGAGTTTTAGGGGGGGAAAAAAAATCACAATCACAAAGTATTTCTGAGCTTGTCCATTGTATTGAAATTTTCTTCAAAGTCCAGAAATTTTCCATCAATTGATGTGCACTTTTGGAAGTAGCCTTCCTGTCTGTCTTCCTGCTGACACAGCCACTGAAATGACCTTTTCCTGTGCTTTTTTTAATGTTACTGTTGCAATTTACATAATGAAGCTACTAATAGTGAAGTATCACTGACTCCCATGTCTTGTCTTCCACACACAGGGAACTTTCTGTGGACAACTGACATGGCAGCCTGCGTGAAGGAATTGATATTTCATCTCTTGGCTGAGTTGCTTCGCAAAATTCACAATCTGGAGCAGAAAAAAAATCCAGCAGGATTGTCCTCTTCTATTGCCCTTCAGCTAAATCCCTGCCTGGCAATGCTTATGGCCCTGCAGTCTGAACTTCACAAGTTGTATGATGAGGAAACACAAAACTGGGTGTCTGGGAATGCCTGTGGTGGGTCTGGTGTTGGAGCAGCTGACCAAGGAAGATTTTCAACATATTTTCATGCTCTGATGGAAGTCTGCCTGGCTGTAGCAGAAGTAACCCTGCCTATCAACATGAGTGTAACAGCTAATGTGATGTCTTCAACAAGCGCCCCGAATCTTAGCGACTCTTCATCCTCATCTTCATCTTCACCGGGACAGACACCACAGAGCCCAAGCTTGCTGTCAAAGAGGAAAAAAGTCAAAATGAAGAGGGAAAAGACGTCGTCTTCAGGCAAACGTTCTTCATCCAGAGCAGCTGAAACAGATGCTGCAATCCTTAGTATAGGAGGGAGCAAGCCTGAGGACATGCTGTGGTTTCATAGAGCACTGACTCTGCTTATAATTCTCAGGCACCTGACTAAAAAGGACCCACAGGGGTTGGGTGTGACAAACGACGCTGTAGCAGACGCGTGTCAAGCACTGGTGGGTCCCACAGCTCACAGCCGCCTGCTCGTCATTTCTGGAATACCCACGCACCTGGAGGAGAGCACGGTCAGAAACGCCATCAGAAAGGCTTGTAATGCACATGGAGGAGTCTTCAAGGATGAGATCTACATCCCTTTGCAGGAAGAGGATCCCAAAAAAATCAAGGACAAAGCGGAAGGAGGAGAATGCAGAACTGAGCTGGAAAAGCCAACAGTTTCAAGCAGCGCAGACAGTTTGGATATCAGCAGCTCCAGCAGTGTCACGCCTGCCATGAGTGTGAGTGCTTCAGCATCCACCAGCCAGGCCTCCCTCTGCAGCTCACAGGGCATATCCCGGACCGTTAGCGACATCTCAGTTGACCAGTATCAGGCTGGACTGGAACTGGCCATCCCACCAGGACTGCTAGAACCGCATGTTGTCTCCAGCCAGGAGAGTTTGGATCTTTCCCACTGCAGCACTGGGAGCCTCGGCAGCCTCGGCAGCCTTGGGGAACCGCTCGATAACGTGGAGACAGCGTCCGTGTCTGATGTTGGATCCATGTACACGGTCACATCTCTGGACAACCAGCCCCTTCTGTCACGGCCCATCAAAGGTTTTGCTGTAGTGGAGGTAATAGCCTTCAATCAGGACAGGGTGCCTTTGGGGTCAGTTTTTTTCTGAAAGAATGAGATCTGATTCTAGTAACTTTACCTTCTGGCTTTGAGAAATACTGTGCTTTTTGTGGTTTGTGTGTAACACCGTGATGTGGCTGTTAAACATACAGCACACTTCTTTCCTTTCCTTCTGTAAAGATTCTGCTTGACTGAGGCCACAGCTTGAATGCTGGAGAGGTGAAGGTACTGTTAGCAAGGTGTAGCTCAGCACAGGTCACGGGTGTGGAATAAATGTATCTCAATGTACTCAAGACTAAGGAGAGCAGGAATTCTCAGCTTGGACAGGATGGCTGAGAGCACAGAGCTTTATTCTCCATTGACTGTCTCTGTATCATTCACAGTCTTGGAAGCATTCACTGTCCCTCAAAGGACAGAGGGCACCTATTAGTGGAGTTACCGACTAACGATTTTAAAACAGAAGGAAGTCCTCTTGCATGTTGCAAGCTGTAGAGCTCATTGCCACAAGGTGTTGTGGAAGCCAAGAGCATAAATGAATTCATAAGGGATTAACTTCACGGAGGATGTGCAAATTGGTAGCTATTAAGCACAGCAGTCAGTGCAGCCTTCAACTTAGGAAATCTTTAAACTGCAGCTATCTGGAGGCTGAGAGAATATGTAAAGGAAAAGGTCTGTTCATCTCCTCTTTCATGTAACTTTCTTCAAAAATTTGCTACTGGCCGCTGCTGGAGATTAATTTAGAGATAGGTGGCCCTTTGATTTGACCCACGAGGCAATTATTTAATATTTAGTGACTACATTTTCACGTATTTTAAACAGGGAGGGATCTACAGATCGCTCTATAAAATTATTTTAGAAGAGACAATAAATTTTGTTGACGTCTAGTTCCAAATTAATTCTTAAAAGCATGGTGGGTGGTTGTTGTTGATGCCAGATCACTCTAGGTTTTCAGCTGGGCATGAGAACCCTTTCTTTCTGGTGTTACCCAAACCACATGCTGCAGATTTATCAGAAGCTTGCAAAAGCCCCTCCATTTCGGATAGCTTGTGAATGTGGAGAGACATTTTTGCATAGTCTGGGGTTCTATCAGTTTCCCTTCTTGAAGGAAATCAGCTTATTTTGATAGAAAATCTTCAGTTGCTATACTTCAGCTATTAATTGACATGAAGACACCAGAGTCGAAATAAACCATAAAGTGTGTACAGAAAGCTGTCAGCGTGTTCACGTTGAAACCTACTCCAAGTCTGTAGCTGCTCTGATAATGATGCACAGGGATTATTCTCAGAATGAATGGAAGTTATTGTTCCTGTTCCCACCTTGTGTAGCTGAGACTTCAAGGCCTGTGCTAATTTAGGGATTTTATTTTTTTTTCTAAATGGAGAACTGAAGCAAGGACAGCAAATAATGACAGGCTACCTATCTGAAACTTTTAGCTTCTTATCTGCTGTTTCTAAGGGCTGTCTCCAGACTGAGAAATGGAATAGCTGGTTCAGAGCTGCACCTGATTAACTCACAGCACGGTGATTTCAGTGGCCAGATGAAAGGATGTTTTCTAGGCTGAACCTGAATTCTGGTATCAGATTATCGATGTAGAAGAGGTGCAATAGTGATTATCTACATGGGGAGGGGAGAAAACTTAAGACTCAAATTCACATAAATGGTAGTTAATTTGTTTTGTCAGAATTCCTGTTAACTAATTTCATTATTTGTACAGATAAGGTCAAGAGCTAAAATAGAGAAAATCCGAGCCAGTCTATTTAATAGTAGTGATCTCATTGGTTTGTCGAGTCTGGATGGGGAAGATGAACTGATGGAAATGTCAACTGAAGAGATTTTAACTGTTTCTACTGTGAATCAGAGTTTATTTGATACACAAGGGAGCCCAGCACTAGAAGATTATTTCAATGATAAGTCAATAAAAGGTATGTGGTTTTCATAATGGGAAATAGCTCACTTGTATTGTGCATTTTTGGGGGACATACAGGGGCCAGATTCTGTTTGCTGGTGTAAATTCAGTATGACTCACTAATTGATGGGTGACAACGAGGGGGAGCCAGGGAGTCATTTCAGAGCAAGTTTCCTCCCTCTTTTGTTGGCAAGCAGCTATTTGCAATCTGAATATTGTTTAACTGCTATCACAGCTAATCAAATGAGGAGAAAAAACACAAAAACCCCACAAAAAGCTCCCCACCAACCCAAAAAACTACTGAGTTTAGTGACTTTTTTGAGAAAATAGCCACTGCAACAATTTACCACTGCTAGACACAGCGTACTTTTACAGTAGAAACTGTTTAAGTAATTTATATTTTCTAACAACGCAAAATCTGTACAGACCCTAATGCACCTGGAATGAGCCCAAATCCAGAATAAAGGGATAGGGGAGGATAATACTTGGAGGGAGTTCAGCTGACTACTGGTTCAATTGCTAGCTGTTGGTGTGTACCTACACAACAAAATTTCTATACTGGCATCATAAATAATCTACTTTTTCCCTACCACTACAGTCAGTCAAATAATAATTACATTATGTGGCCAAAACAGGAGAAGGCATTCAATTCTCTGTCAGAAATGGGAAATTAGGGTACAGAAAGGTCAGGTCTGCTAGTAGAATTTTTCTAAGTGATTCTATCTCTTGGAGCAAGTGGCGTGTAATACAGTATTTTAGCTGAATGCGGAATGGTCTTTTTCATGTTTCAAATTATAAACAGTTGTTCTGGTATTTTGTACCATACTGCATTTATTTTTTCTTTTTTTTAGGTGAGAAATTGGTCCCAGGTGCTCGGGAAGTCCTCACAGAAATATTTAAAAGCTGCGTCCATTCTGAGCAAATGCTAAGCTTAACTCCAGCGAAACCCATTAAGGTTGCTGATATCTACCTTAGCAAAGAGCAGATAAATTCTCAGACTCCTGGAAACCTCCTTCATCTCTTCTTCACAAACGTCCGTCCTCCAAAGAAGGTGCTAGAGGATCAGCTTACTCAGGTAATGCCTTGAAAACTGAGTTTTCAAAGATTTTCAGTATCTTTGTGCGTAATTTGAAAGCACTGGGTAATTATTGACTTTCTATGTTGGAAGATTTTAAGGAAATATGGTGTGCCCAAGCCAAAATTTGACAAGAGCAAGTACAACAAGGCGGGCAAAGAACAGCATCCAGTGAAAGTTGTGAGCACCAAGCGCCCAGTTACTAAACCCCCTACAAAGGAGAAGTCTATGCTCAATAGTGTCAGGTTGGTGTCTTCAACCTTTTGGCAGTTGCAAAACATTAAATTTCTTCTCAGAAATCTAGATTTTTATCCCCCCTCCCTCTGTATTTCCATGATTGGAAGAGGGAAATGCGACATCATTGAAATTGTAAAAGACCCTCAGGAAACGGTAGCTGCTCTGATAATGATGCACAGGGATTATTCTCAGAATGAATGGAAGTTATTGTTCCTGTTCCCACCTTGTGTAGCTGAGACTTCAAGGCCTGTGCTAATTTAGGGATTTTATATTTTTTTTTCTAAATGGAGAACTGAAGCAAGGACAGCAAATAATGACAGGCTACCTATCTGAAACTTTTAGCTTCTTATCTGCTGTTTCTAAGGGCTGTCTCCAGACTGAGAAATGGAATAGCTGGTTCAGAGCTGCACCTGATTAACTCACAGCACGGTGATTTCAGTGGCCAGATGAAAGGATGTTTTCTAGGCTGAACCTGAATTCTGGTATCAGATTATCGATGTAGAAGAGGTGCAATAGTGATTATCTACATGGGGAGGGGAGAAAACTTAAGACTCAAATTCACATAAATGGTAGTTAATTTGTTTTGTCAGAATTCCTGTTAACTAATTTCATTATTTGTACAGATAAGGTCAAGAGCTAAAATAGAGAAAATCCGAGCCAGTCTATTTAATAGTAGTGATCTCATTGGTTTGTCGAGTCTGGATGGGGAAGATGAACTGATGGAAATGTCAACTGAAGAGATTTTAACTGTTTCTACTGTGAATCAGAGTTTATTTGATACACAAGGGAGCCCAGCACTAGAAGATTATTTCAATGATAAGTCAATAAAAGGTATGTGGTTTTCATAATGGGAAATAGCTCCCTTGTATTGTGCATTTTTTGGGGACATACAGGGGTCAGATTCTGTTTGCTGGTGTAAATTCAGTATGACTCACTAATTGATGGGTGACAACGAGGGGGAGCCAGGGAGTCATTTCAGAGCAAGTTTCCCCCCTCTTTTGTTGGCAAGCAGCTATTTGCAATCTGAATATTGTTTAACTGCTATCACAGCTAATCAAATGAGGAGAAAAAACACAAAAACCCCACAAAAAGCTCCCCACCAACCCAAAAAACTACTGAGTTTAGTGACTTTTTTGAGAAAATAGCCACTGCAACAATTTACCACTGCTAGACACAGCGTACTTTTACAGTAGAAACTGTTTAAGTAATTTATATTTTCTAACAACGCAAAATCTGTACAGACCCTAATGCACCTGGAATGAGCCCAAATCCAGAATAAAGGGATAGGGGAGGATAATACTTGGAGGGAGTTCAGCTGACTACTGGTTCAATTGCTAGCTGTTGGTGTGTACCTACACAACAAAATTTCTATACTGGCATCATAAATAATCTACTTTTTCCCTACCACTACAGTCAGTCAAATAATAATTACATTATGTGGCCAAAACAGGAGAAGGCATTCAATTCTCTGTCAGAAATGGGAAATTAGGGTACAGAAAGGTCAGGTCTGCTAGTAGAATTTTTCTAAGTGATTCTATCTCTTGGAGCAAGTGGCGTGTAATACAGTATTTTAGCTGAATGCGGAATGGTCTTTTTCATGTTTCAAATTATAAACAGTTGTTCTGGTATTTTGTACCATACTGCATTTATTTTTTCTTTTTTTTAGGTGAGAAATTGGTCCCAGGTGCTCGGGAAGTCCTCACAGAAATATTTAAAAGCTGCGTCCATTCTGAGCAAATGCTAAGCTTAACTCCAGCGAAACCCATTAAGGTTGCTGATATCTACCTTAGCAAAGAGCAGATAAATTCTCAGACTCCTGGAAACCTCCTTCATCTCTTCTTCACAAACGTCCGTCCTCCAAAGAAGGTGCTAGAGGATCAGCTTACGCAGGTAATGCCTTGAAAACTGAGTTTTCAAAGATTTTCAGTATCTTTGTGCGTAATTTGAAAGCACTGGGTAATTATTGACTTTCTATGTTGGAAGATTTTAAGGAAATATGGTGTGCCCAAGCCAAAATTTGACAAGAGCAAGTACAACAAGGCGGGCAAAGAACAGCATCCAGTGAAAGTTGTGAGCACCAAGCGCCCAGTTACTAAACCCCCTACAAAGGAGAAGTCTATGCTCAATAGTGTCAGGTTGGTGTCTTCAACCTTTTGGCAGTTGCAAAACATTAAATTTCTTCTCAGAAATCTAGATTTTTATCCCCCCTCCCTCTGTATTTCCATGATTGGAAGAGGGAAATGCGACATCATTGAAATTGTAAAAGACCCTCAGGAAACGTCTTGGTTTCTTGAGCAGATGAAAGAAAATGTTAATCCTAACATTTCCTTTGTCCCTCAGCCGAACAGCCTTAAGTGAGAAGAAACCTACTGTAAAGCCAAAATCTCCTGAGAAGGGCAAACCTGAAGAGAAGGATCCTGAAAAGTCTCCCACAAAGAAACAGGAAGGTATTAGCTGTATAGAAATTTTCTATAGTATTATATCATAGAAAAGAAATACATTTCTTTATGTTGGCATGTTTATATGATGTCATGATAGATTTGATTGCCTTTGTTTTTAAGGAGGCTAACTTAATTTTTTAAAATGGTGATTTTAAATGTTGCTTTTCTTTGTATATCTGTAAATATGGACTCATGAGTGTAAGTGAGAGCAAACCATGCTCATGCAATTCATGCCACAGTGTACGTCGGCCGTGTGAACACAGCGGGTGAAGAACTGGCTTCCTGAGGAGTAGAGTTTCAAGTCATCTTTTGTACAGTGGGAGATTAGATTTTAAATTGTGTTTCTCAACTTGTAACAGTAATTTTCCTATGTAAGAGGAAAATTGGATGAAAGAGAAGCCTCAGGTGCCTCATAACTAGTCTCTCAGTGGAGGAGACAGCACAGCCGTGCTGTGACAGGGCTTAGATCCAGGGTCTTGCTTGATACTTTTTTTGAGTCAGGTGGAAGAGTGAATGGACATGAGTTTGAACTCTGCTCTTCACAGTAGGAAATGCCTTTGATACTTCTTTTTCGAGTCAGGTGGAAGAGTGAATAGACATGAGCTTGAACTCTGCTCTTCACAGTAGGAAATGCCAGGTTAGCTCAGAGGAGGGGAATTCCGGCATTTAGCCAAGTATGGATCCTTGAGACCTGGGTAGATACGTTGGTGGAGCTGTTCCAGAGGGCAGCTGGGGAATTGTGTCCTTGAGAGGCAAGAATGAGGGCAGATCACACCTGAATAGCATGATGTGTCAAACTGCTCGAGAAATGAACCACAAAGCTGCTAGGGAGCCACCTCATCGATGACCCTGTTCCTGTGTGGTGTGTAGGCTTAGAGGGCAGCTGGGGAACTGTGTCCTTGAGAGGCAAGAATGAGGCCAGATCACACCTGAATAGCATGATGTTTCAAACTGCTCAAGAAATGAGCCACAAAGCTGTTAGGGAGCCACCTCATTGATGACCCTGTTCCTGTGTGGTGTGTAGGCTTCTAAGTCGTTAACTATTTGATGTCTTTGCTGCCAGTTCCTGAAGAGAAGTATTTGACACTGGATGGATTTCAGAGGTTTGTGGTTGACCGATCTAAACAGGATATCCGTAGTGTGTGGAGAGCTATTCTGTCCTGTGGATATGATCTACATTTTGAAAGGTAAATTTTGCAAACCTTGTTGTAAAGGTGATACTAATTAATTGTGCTCACTTTAAAAAACTCTTGATCCCAAGTGTTCCTACTCCAGGTAGCTTCAACCAGCGTGATAGCAATGTGCAATCTCCTGTCCATGGCTGCAAGGCCCGTAGAGAAAACTGTTGGTGATTTTCTTGAAACGTGCTTTAAAGGAGTCACTGTGCTGTCAAAACACAGGTTCCTGACTGTCTTTACAGAGCATCGCTAACAAAATCATGTGCCGTACTGTCCTGTACCGCTTCCAAACTGTATTATAAATTGGCCTGATGAGAACTGTAGATCCATCTGGTTGTGTCTGGTTTAATTCCCCAACAGCTTTCCATTCTGTGCTCTGGGTATTTGTTTATCCTGGCAGAGCTCTTCCTGAGTCACTGCTGATGTAGAGGAGGGGACGGTTACTTCCTTGTTAATATTGCGCAGGAAGAAAGTCCTTTAAATGACTCCTCCTTATCTCCCTGTGTCAAACCACAAGCAGATTGCCACCTCCCCTTCCCCTATGTCCACTTTGGAGCATAAAGAAGATGGTGCAATAAGTAAGCTTAATAGGCAGTTCCCTTTTTCTCTTATTATTTAATAACAGTGGGGCAAGATAGGGGATAAATCAGTTGTTAGTCTCAAACTTGAATTTTTGTAGTGAAATGGGAGAGAAGTAGAACAAGCTACCTGGTAGTGTGCTCACCATGCTTTTAGTAAGCAGTATTGCAGATTTCAACAGATCTTATGCCTTTTCCATTCCAGATGTGCCTGCATTGATGCAAGACATGCTCAAAAAGCCTCCCGCAAATGGACACTGGAAATGGATGTAGCCCTTGTCCAGTACATTAACCGGCTCTGCCGTCACCTGGCAATTACACCAGCACGACTCCATCCCCATGAAGTCTATTTGGATCCAGCTGATGCAGCAGACCCCAGAATTTCCTGTCTGTTGAGTACGTATAGATTGTTTGCATAGAGGCTTTCCTCAGTGGAAGAGCTGGGTGGTGCTCCTGAATGACCTGACTGTCGTCCGCGTAGTTGGGACATTCCTTTGGAGGTTGTAGTTCAGAGTCTCTCTGTGGGCCAAGGGGAACACTGAGTCTAGATCTTCTATTTCCTTGGGTGTCCTCAGGCAGCGTGGGGATTTTGGCAGTATTTAGAAAGGTGCTGCAACTGTTCTCTGCTCCCCGAGCTGGAGCAGGAAGGGACACGGTCAGTTTAGCTTCCAGGGGGAAGGGAGGTTGGATTTCAGTTCTGGACCTGGGCGGGCTTCAGGCGCCTAAATCCTGTTCTAAGCACTACGTTCCTTTAAGGAGGTCACCAGATAATGCAAATTCAGTGATAATGAAAGATATTGGACTCAGACACCCAGAGATTTGAGATCCAGTAAGGAATATCACGAATCACAGCTGTTCTTGCATCTTCAACCCTCTTGGTGCGCAGGGGTCAGGAGGGGCTGCTTTAGAAGGAAGCTTGGGTGGCTCCTGGACTGAATCTGCTGAGAAGATGGACTCTGGAGTAGGTAGGGAATCTCTTTATCTTTCTGACTGGATGTTTCCCACCTCAGATGTTCCCGTTGAAAGTCTACGCCTACGTTTTGCACTGCTCCAGTCTCTCAACACAACGTTGGAGACCTTCTTCTTGCCACTGGTGGAGCTTCGGCAGACGGAGATGTACGCTAATAGCATCGCTGCGTTACTGCAGGAGGCCAAAGGTCAGCTTCTCAGGGGCATGGTTGTGGCCTGAAAGGGTGCATTATGCACCACGCTGAATTTTTGAGTGTATTTTACAGAAGATTTTAATGCACACTTGTGTAAGTGTGACGGGGGAGAGGGAAAGTGAGACAGTGAGCGGCTTATGGGCTTTGTTCTCTGCCCGATAAGCTGGCACACGATCTGTCTGAGGTGGCAGCCAAAAACCAGCATTAACCCAAGGGCACTTCTCAGTGTGGGAGCTTCTTCTTTTTCTTAGTTTGGTTTTAAAGGCGTGGGGGATTATTCTTGCAGGTAGTTAATAGATGCTGTGCATCTCTCTTGACCATGGAGGGAGCTGAGCCATCTTTTCTGTCTGTGGGTGGCCTTCAAATGTGCCTACTCTTGGGGGTATCCATAAATTAAAATTTGTTGTTAGTCAGCAAGCAGTAGATCAGATGAAAGTCCCAGGACATGCTGGCATTCTCGTTGTCATTGGAGTTGTAGAATTAGAGAGATCAAGAAAATACTTACCGTGCATCAGCATTTAAAATAGTTTTTACAAGCCCTCTAGACAACAAACAAAACCAAGATTTAGGTTATCACATTTCCAAAACTTGTTTTCTTCTGAAAAAGGAGAAGACACAGGAGTCACCGAAGGTGCCAGTGTGTGTAAATAGGCTTTTGTGTTGGCCCAGCTAAGAAAAAACCCACACCTTGTAAACCCAGCGTGGAGAAGTGAGGAATGTTCAGAGATTTTTGTCTCTTAGAGAGCCCATATTTATGGTGCAATGTGACAGCCCTATTCACTGTGCAGCTCTCTTGACCATGGAGGGAGCTGGGCCATCTTTTCTGTCTGTGAGTGGCCTTCAAATGTGCCTTTATTTTCTTGGGGGTATCCATAAATTAAAATTCTTTGTTAGTCAGCAAGCAGTAGATCAGATGAAAGTCCCAGGACATGCTGGCATTCTCGTTGTCATTGGAGTTGTAGAATTAGAGAGATCAAGAAAATACTTACCGTGCATCAGCATTTAAAATAGTTTTTACAAGCCCTCTAGACAACAAACAAAACCAAGATTTAGGTTATCACATTTCCAAAACTTGTTTTCTTCTGAAAAAGGAGAAGACACAGGAGTCACCGAAGGTGCCAGTGTGTGTAAATAGGCTTTTGTGTTGGCCCAGCTAAGAAAAAACCCACACCTTGTAAACCCAGCGTGGAGAAGTGAGGAATGTTCAGAGATTTTTGTCTCTTAGAGAGCCCATATTTATGGTGCAATGTGACAGCCCTATTTTTTATCGTGTTTTCTTGCCTCTAGGATGACTGTCAAAACATCTCAGATTTCTGAAAGCTATTTGGCAAAGTGTTTCTGATTTACAGAGATTCTGGTGGAGTTGCTGGGGTCTATTTATGTGGCATTAGAATTGTGTTCATCAGTGTTCTAACCCACTGCGCTTCTTCCAGTAAACATTAGTAACAAATACTTAAGAAAATATGTTGATGAGCTGTATCCTACCTACCTAATGAAGACAAAATTGCTACTCTGCCATTGTCTATTAGAGAATTTCAGAAAATAAGGTTGTGGAAGGGTAGATTAACTCTACTGAAATATGTGTTTCTTTAGGTTTAATCTTTTATGACACAAAAGTGACTGTGATGAACAGAGTGCTGAACGCCACTGTCCAAAGAACCGCTGACCACGCGGCCCCAGAAATCACCCTGGATCCACTGGAAATAGTTGGAGGTATGGGAAACACTGGTCCTTTTCAAAACTCACTCTAATCCATTGCAACGAGTCAGATCTGGTTTAACCAAGCCCCGATGCTTCTTAATGCGAAACACAAAGTGTGGGGATTTTATTTTATTATTTTTCACTTGTTTTTGTTTTAACCAAGCCCAGATGATGCTTAATGCGAAATGCTCAAAGCGTGGGGATTTTATTTTATTATTTTTCACTTGTTTTTGAACAGGGGAGATCCGTTCTTCGGAGAACTCCTATTTCTGCCAGGCAGCGAGGCAGCTGGCCTGCGTGCCCTCCTCCCAGCTCTGCGTCAAACTCGCCAGCGGCGGGGACCCTACCTACGCCTTCAACATCCGCTTCACCGGGGAGGAGGTTCATGGAACAAGTACGTGGGGATTGGGGGGTCACCAGCGGGGTGACATCGGGTACAGTCGTGAGAACTTACCCCAGCTGGAATCCCAAGTTCTCGCCGGGATGTGGCTGGTGGTGACTTTAAGGAGCAGGGTTACCTTCGTGGGGTTTGTAGTCCTGCAGATGGAAGAGAATGAAACTTCCAAGAATTAAGCAAGCCAGATGGTTAATTTTCATATTTTAGCTGATCTAGCAGGAAGTACGAGTGGCTGGGCATGCAGCTTTGCTAATTAGAACAAGAAAATAATGTAAGTTGTTTGAAACATGGGGAGAGCATTTAGTAAGAACATCTCTTCAGGTTGTTTTGATGCTCAGCCTTGGTAAACCCAGACTGTGCTGATAACAATGAGTATTATTTTAAGTACTTTCTTGTCAGTAATGAGCTGGGTAATGCAACCATGGTTTTCATTGCCAGTGATGTGAGATTGTATTGCCAATAGGTAAAGGAAATAATGTAAGTTGTTTGAAACATGGGGAGAGCATTTAGTAAGAACATCTCTTCAGGTTGTTTTGATGCTCAGCCTTGGTAAACCCAGACTGTGCTGATAACAATGAGTATTATTTTTTTTAAGTACTTTCTTGTCAGTAATGAGCTGGGTAATGCAACCATGGTTTTCATTGCCAGTGATGTGAGATTGTATTGCCAATAGGTTAAGATACCATTTGATATTAGTACAGGATACTTTATCAAACGTAGCTGTCAAGGGATGTGCAAGCATTAACAATTAAAAGTGGCCATGCCCAGGTGAGGTCTATTTGAGAATTGTTTCCAACTTGACAGCAGAAATACCAACTCCAGCTTCTCCCAGCCAAGCTGGAGAGACAGTGAGTACGGTAAAGGCTTTGTTGCCTCAAAAACTGTCCTTAATTTTTGCAGTAAACAGTATTAAAATTGTATCTTCCTCATTTTTGTGAGGAGCATACAGTATTTCTTGTAATCATTTTAAGAATTTTCATGTGAGCGGTTAAAAAAATGAGCCTTGGAAAGGAATAGACATTTAACTACCCTAATTTCACCTGACCAGTACAGAGGGAGCCTCCTCGTGACATGGAACACTGCTTTCCATCACAAAGTGTTAAGTGACAATCTTACTTGATTAAACAAGATTATTATGCCTCCTCTTCTCTTGATACTATATCTTCATTCATGAGGTTTCTTTCTGTAAGATGTTCTTTATGTGGCTGCCATCCCAGCCCCATTGGGTATTTAGTTTTTTGGGGGGTCTGGCTCCCCTGGATGCTCTGTGGGTTCCTGTGCGCCAAAAAGAGACTGGATTTAAGTAAGAGCTGGGAAAAATGGTACTTTGCAGATCTGTTGAATAATTGATAGGGTATGAAGGCAAATATCAACTGTGTCAAAGAGGAGAATTGATCGCTATTGTCTAAATGGACGCAGCCTGGGGGGACTGATTGGAATTGGTCCTTTTTGGAGATTCATGGGGTTATGTGGGGTTAGAGAAGAGAAGCCCAAAGTGCCCTTCTCATGCTGCCTGCTCGTGTCATCCATCACATTGTGGGAAGGAAAATTCCTGTAAGTGTGCACCTAAAAGCTGAACAAAGAGCTCCTTCTGCCTTCTCTCAAGGGGAATTCTTTTCTTTTTAAGATCTGTGGTGGTTATTGATATGTGATGTCCACAGCTGAGCGTCTGTAGTGGTTTCTGGTGCATTGTCTCACCGCTTTTAGGGGTGGAAATGCCCTGTCATTATGAAGACAGCACCATTCATCTTCTAATCAAGTAATGAGTTCCATTTGCAAGCTGCCTGGTGTAACAAATGTTTGTGCTGGTCTTACACAGAGAGCGACGGAAGGCGAGGCAGCACCTGGGAATTCAGCAGGAAGCAATTCAACGACTATTTTTTGGCATGCAATTTAACTAATCTTACACAGAGCGATGGAAGGCGAGGCAGCACCTGGGAATTCAGCAGGAAGCAATTCAACGACTATTTTTTGGCATGCAATTTAACTATTTCCATGTGGACTTGCACGTGAATCTGCCACCTACCTCACCCTTGGTTAAGCCACGTGTCTGTGTAGGCAGAGAGGTTAAATGTGGAAGCTGGGGCTGAAGGGCAATTTGTGGATGCAAAGGCAGCAATAATGAGCCTCAGAGGGAGTTTCATTCTTGTGCCCCTCTCTCTTTCAGGTGGATCTTTCCGTCACTTCCTCTGGCAAGTCTGTAAAGAGTTACAGAGCTCCTCGCTCTCCCTTCTCCTGCTGTGCCCGAGCTCTGCAGTGAATAAGAACAAGGTGGGTTATCTCAATGCAAGGGATGAAGTTGCTTTTCTCTCGTTGAATGCGTGTGTTTGAACAGGAGTGGGACATATTTCAGGTAGCGCTACAGAGAGAAGCTTCAGCCCAACAGCCCCTGGTGGTACATCCAACCAGACAGGTCTCATGCCTGCTAGACCCAAAAATGACTGTTGATGAATCTTCTGTTGCGCTTCAAGTGACACTTGGAGGTGCTCACAGTAGCCAAGTAGTCAAAACTGCAAAATGAGGCAGAATTAAGACTCGTGGTCAAAGTTCACTTTAAATTATTCTGGTTCAGTTGTCTGATTTAGAGATTGTCCATCACAAACTAAGTCAAGTCACGTTCTGCTGGTATTACTCAAGGAATGTCACCGAGAATTTAGACATTGTCCATCCCAAGATAAGTCAAGTCATGTTCTGCTGGTATTACTCAAGGAATGTCACCAGGAAAGTCAGTTCTGTTGACAGTAGAAGAAGACTCTCCATCCATGCTGTTCAGTGTGTATTTCGTGTCCTCCTATTTTGTCCAGTAGATCTATTACATAAACAAGATAAAGTTTATGGCCCAAGGACCTTACAGTAGTTGAGGTAGTTCCTTCCTAGGAATATCCAAAAGGTGGGAAAGCAGCTCGTTTCCTTCAAGACCAGCTCTGTAGCAAACCTGGCTTTGCACATCCAGGCTGTATTTCAGAAACATCCCACCACTTGAAAGGTTTAGATAACGAATGGGTAACACAAATACAGAAAAGTCTTAATTCTTAATAGTATTGCTTTTGATCATTAAGCAATAAGATAATGGGGTATAATGTCAGTGTATATTGTATACAGACTCCATTCCACACTTGAGCCAGTCCTTTTGTAGCCAACTAAACAGTATTCGTTGTGCTCAAGTCAGTATTTGTACAAGCCTGTAAATTTGTGGACCTGCAGGGTGTGTGTCAGTCATTAAATACTGCTTTGTGTGCTCTACTCTGTTTTTCCTTCTGCAGGGGAAGTACATTTTGACGCCGAGCCCGATAACCTACGCGGAGGAGCAGTTATTCCATTTCTTCGGGCAGCTCTTGGGTATTGCAATTCGGGCAGATGTTCCTCTGCCACTTGACCTCCTGCCCTCCTTCTGGAAGACTCTGGTGGGAGAGCCACTGGATCCGGACGTTGATCTGCAGGAAGCTGACATCCTCACCTACAACTACGTCAAAAAATTTGAAAATGTAAGTAAAATCTTTTCCTTCATGTTTTTTTTTCAGGGTTTCCCCTGTAAGCACGCTGTTCTAACAGCTCCTTGCTTTACCCTACGTGGTAGTGGTTGGTCTCGCTGCCAGCAGATGTTCTTCATGTGTGCACGGTCATGAAGGGCTTTGATTCAGCTTATGGGGCAGGATTTTCCCTCCTGATGGCTTGGAAAAGTTGCTGGGTCTCTTCTGCTGCCAGGCACGGTGGAATTAAGGCTTCTGAAGTGTTTACTGGAACTTGGTGGTGCTAAACCAGAAATAACCCATCAAAGTGATTACCAGCTTTCGCTGTCTGTGCAGTCTCCAGATGATCTAACGAGTGCACTTTGTGTGCTGTGGTGACATCTTAAATGAGCCACAAGAACCTGGTGGTCATCAGATTCTCTCCTTGTGTTCCGTGACAGATAAATGATGAGACAGAACTGGAAGCTCTTTGTGCAGAAATTGCTTCTCAGCATCTGGCAACAGAGAGCCCCGACTGTCCCAACAAGCCCTGCTGCAAATTCACCTACCTGACCATGACGGGGGAGGAAGTGGAGCTCTGTCCCAGGGGCAGGCACATCCCGGTGGGGTAAGTAACATCTTGCTTGGCAGGATGTTGGACTGGGTTACACGAGAAATGATCTCTGGAATCGTTTTCCAAGCAGTAGGCTCTCCAGAGATGCTTTGGTAACAAGCTTGGAGGCTGGAGCGATCCAGGAAAGCCATATATTTGTTGGCAGGAGCTTGGCATCACTCATGCTATTGACTGCCTTTTGTGCTGTGAGAACCAGAGCGGAGGAGCAGCGCCCATCAGCTGCTCCCAGCCTTCAGCAAACACCCCCAGTCAGGAGGCTGAGAGAGATGGGCAAGCGTGAGGGAGGAAGAGGAAGCTGAGGAAGGTGAAACTGAATAGGGAAGCATCAGAATGCAAACAGCTTCATGCTCACTCTCGATTATTCAAGCGCAATCTCCCCGTAGATCCCTCCTGTGTGTGAGTGGGTCTGGGGCAGGGCGAGAGGGCTCTTGGGGACTCTCCTTTCTCATCCTGAAATCCCTGCCCTTGCAGGTGGGAGAACAAGGACGTGTACGCCGCGGCCATCCGGAGCTTGAGGATGCGGGAGCTGCAGACTCCGGAGTGCATGACTGCCGTGCGTGCTGGCCTTGGCTCCATCATCCCCCTCCAGCTTCTGACTACGCTCACCCCTCTGGAGATGGAGCTGAGGACGTGTGGGCTTCCATACATCAACCTGGAGTTCCTCAAGGTGGGGAGAACTGCAGCTGCTTTGGCAAAACTTGCCCCGCTGACCCTCCCGCAGGGAAGGTGTTAGGGGAGGACCTTCTGCTTGTGGTACAGCCAAGGTGGTCCCTAGGGAACACTGGCCTAGACCTGGACACTCCTCTTTGCCCCCAAGAAAACTTTTAAGATTTCACTGGATTGAGGAAATACTCAGAGTGGGGCTTGTTCCAGAGAGGAGTAATGAATTTACTTTTTAACACGACATTTTAAATCTATCTCCATTTTACTGAGATTTATTTAATATTTGCCACTTGAGGTAAGGGCTGAAAGAGCCGCCACCACCATAATGAATTGCGAATAACTTGAGAAAATCTAAAATTAATCTGTAACAGGCAACTTCTGGTCCTAAATACTTTCATTTGGTTACCATAAGAATTAGGCCATGAGAAGAACTGTGCTCTTGTGTCAGAAGTCACCCCCTTGGCGTGTCAGTGGGGAAGATTTACGAAGGGAGAGTCAAGCAGCCGTGGACACTTTGCTTTCTCTTCTCTGGTAGGCACACACCATGTACCAGGTGGGTCTGATGGAGACCGATCAGCACATCGAGTTCTTCTGGAGCGCGCTGGAGATGTTCACTCAGGAGGAGCTCTGCAAGTTCATCAAGTTTGCCTGCAACCAGGAGCGGATCCCCTTCACCTGCCCTTGCAAAGACGGGGGCCCTGACACCGCCCATGTCCCGCCGTACCCCATGAAAATAGCGCCCCCCGACGGCGCCGCAGGTATGTTCCCCCCCCGTCTGCTCCGGCAGAGGGAATCAGCTCTGCTGCCATTGGGATTCCAGCTTTTGGGTCCTCTGGTTTTAATTCAAAGGAGAAGCAGGTAGTTATGGCTGTAAATAAGAAGAGAGCAGACATGGTTCTTTAGACACAATGAGAGACTTTGGGTAATATTTGTCTCGTGTGCTTTTAAAATGGCTGGAGTGATTGAAAAATATAGGCTGAGAGTGGCTGAGCAGCACAGCAGTGTCTGAGGCTCGGGAGATGCAGGCAGGAATCCTTTTATTCTGATACTGCTGGGTCTGGGGACGCTTTTGGAGGAGGAGGTGAGGAGCAGAGGGTGTGCTCACGGCCCGTCTGGCGCTGCTTCCCCCGCAGGTTCTCCAGACTCCCGGTACATCCGCGTGGAGACGTGCATGTTCATGATCAAGCTGCCCCAGTACTCCTCGCTGGACATCATGCTGGAGAAGCTGCGATACGCCATCCACTACCGCGAGGACCCGCTCAGCGGCTGAGGGGGCTGAGGGGAGGCCGAGAGGTGACCGGATTGTTCCATGACTCTGCCGACGACAAAACCCTTCGATTCACATCAAAAAATACCTCCTGTAACACTGTGTGACCAGCTGGAGGTTAATTTATTTTCTGAACTTGTGTTCCCGTTACAATAATTACTGGAAGACTTACATTTTGTATTGGTAGACTTCGTGGTGGACTGGTTCTTTTGCTGCCTTGTTTGTGGAATATTTGTAGGATAGTTTAGTAAAGACCAGTTTGTGTATAATTTAATTTTGAAAAACCTTTAAACATGTACATTTCTAATTTTGTAATTTAGAACGGTATCACCCAGGCGAACACAACCCGAGAGCGGGGGTCGGGGAGCGCTCGGAGGTGAAGGCTCGTAGATCGCTCTCCCCTGGAACATTTTTGAGTACAAAAATGGCAGGAATCGGGTGCGGGGGGAGGGAACGGCTGCTGGGCACCCCCAGGACCAGGGCACGCTGCCCCGTCTGTGGCAGGCAGGGGATGGGGCAGGATTTCTAGCACTTAAGCTTGAGTTTCAGAGCAGAAAATGCGCTGCCAAACTGCATGTTTACGTTCCCACCATTTTCCTGTAACTTTTTAAACTAGAAGCAAGCACACGGGGAGCCACCACCGTTAATTTGGGGTTTCAGCACGACACTTCTGATTTAGGGAGCTTTATAATCAAAAAGAACAGTGAAAGGGCCATAATTCAGTTGGGTTCTTGCCCTAGATGTTCTTGAATGTCTGCTTTGGCTTAGTAACAAAATAATTTATTGTAATTAAAATATTAGCAGAAACAAAATGGCTTCTCTCTGTCTGGTGTAAGATACCACAGTCCAAGCTTATCGTCTGTGACTTTATCCCACTTCCCAACAGGCTTTCAGAATCCCGGGTGCGTGGTTTAAAAACACCTGTAACTCGTTTTTGTACTCAAAAATGGTCTTTGATCTAAGAGCAAATTATCCTGGGAATGTGACACCCAGAAGGAGGACGAGGTGGCAGGGAGGGAAGGCGCAAAGTTGCGCTTCTGAGGCTAAAACTTCTATTTTCTGCAGAGAGACAGTAGCAGAGCGTGGAGAGCAGGCAGTCCTCCAGCTTTAACTTCTGTACGGGGTGAAACACGTTCCGGGGTTGGTTCCCAAAGGACACGTCACCACCTTGTACCTTCCTTCACTCCTCTGAAGGTGCTGGCCCTGCACGGGGCGCGTTCGAAGCGGGGCATCGCTGCGCCGGTGGCCGGGAACCCGGCAGGAGCGAGTGTCACCGAGGGAAGGTGGGGGAAGCGCCGCTCTGCTCCGCTCGGTGCCCCCCGTCAGTGAAGTGCCAGCACCGAGCTCAGGCGTGGGGTTTCCCTTCCCCGTGCTCCACGCACGCACGGCGCGCTGCGGGGTGTGTAGCTCTGCTGTAGGGCTGGTACCGTGTCCCTGCTCCTTTGGCTTGTCTCCGTGGCGATGGGAATGGGAAAAGCTGTATTTATTGTATATTATTGTGAATATTGGGAATGATGAGTGTGTGGTACTTGGAAGATAAAATGTGAGTACGAGAGAAGAGCCTAAACAAGTGTGTATATTCCTGTGCTGCTGTGAGCGAGTGGGACGACGTGTGTGCAACAGTCGTAGAGGTAGTTGTTGCGTTCGGAGTCTCCGGATCCCGTGGTCAGGAAAGGCCCGTCACCCTCCGCTGTGCTATCGCCCTGTCCAGGGAACAGCTCCACCTGGGAAGAACATTCCCTCTTGACTCTTGTCCCTTTCCTGGTAGAAGCACAGATGCAGCTGAGGGATCGCTGGGAGGAAGCGCAAACACCCGGAGTCACAGAGACCGAGGGGGGAAAACGAAGCAGGAGCTGGTTTGTTCCCAAAGAGGGGCAGGAAGGAAAAGCAAGGAATGTCGCTGCTGCACTGACATTTTGCTGCAGCACCGGGCTGCGCCGGCGTGTCCACGGCTCCGACACGGCTGTGAGTACAAAACTGCTGCTAAGGTCTGTCCGCTCCCGCCCGAGAGCGCAGCGGAGCGGGACGTACCTGCATCCTGGCCCTGAAAAGTGTGCTGTAAAGTTACTTGATACGTATTTATTACAGTTAATTATTTATGATTACAAATAACAAACTTTTCGTCGATGCCGTTTACACCTCGCCGTGTAAATGAAGCTTCTTATACAGGAAAAAAATGTCACACCAGTAAATAACCTTCATGGACTTTGGTTTTCTTCTGGAGGATGGTATGAGCCCTGCAAGAGAGCGAGTTGTGGAGGGTTTTTTTTGGCTTTTTTGGCTTTTTCTTTTTTATTTTTTCACGTTATTAGGAAGGAAGCGCTGCAGTGCTCCAACTGCAGCTCAAATGGCCTTTTAATTAAAGCTCTTCTAATCATCATTACTTCCTTGTGCTTTAAATGAACTTGACATCCTCTGTAATAGGCTTGTTTGTCAAAGCAAAGATTGGTTTGTGATGATTTTTTTTTTTTAAATAAATAGATATTCATTCAGAATGTAAAAATTATACTAAACAATGGCAAAACTCTGGAGCTGGGTGTTAGTTCTAGCTTGGTGTGTGTCCATCTCGGGTCCGTACACAGCATTAACCTGTTAAGTGCTCTTGGCCATACCGTGTACACTCGCATAAAGGAGATTCTTAACATCCCTTTAGCTGGTCTGTGTCCTTATTTGGGGCTGGAAAGGATTTAAAAATTAATTCCTCGAAGCAGGGGGGTTGGAGCTGCTGCAAGCGCAGTTGCGGGTGATTTGCTGCCAAATCCCACTTCCATTTGTATTTTCTTGGAACAGAAATGTCAGTATTTTGTGCGACGAGGGAAGCGAGCACAATGGGTGCTGGTATTTCTCTGAAGGGAGAAAGGGGGTTATTTTTCACACCAGAGGAATAAGACAGACCAAGCCCCCCTGTCAGCTTGGGAGTTTGTTATTTTCCACACTAAGGATCTCTGAAGGAGGCCTCCTGCTCCCCTTCCCAATTCCCTTCTCTGGCCCAAGCACCTTTCCCCAGAAATGCCACCCCAAGGCCCATTCCTACCTGTTTTTAAACACCTTTATTCTGCTTCTCCTGCAGAAATAAACACTTACAGTTGGTGGAATGTAAAATGTCTTGCCTTTAAACCCCCACTCCTGTCAGCCATCACTGCTGTTTTTAAACACCTTTATTCTGCTTCTCCTGCAGAAATAAACACTTACAGTTGGTGGAATGTAAAATGTCTTGCCTTTAAACCCCCACTCCTGTCAGCCATCACTGCTCTTCAGGGGCTGCAGCACCAGCCTCGTCCTACAAGGGTGACTGGTTAATTATCCCTGCTCATGCCATCTGCTGTGCCCAGTTAATTAGGCTGATGCCCACAGTCATTATCTAAGAGCTGCCTGCTCCAGCTTGTGCGTTACCCATTCCCAAAGCACAGGGGCTGCAAACAGCTCATAAAGCAAATTAACAGAGCCCTAATGCAGGTAATAACAGCGGAATGCAAATTAACAGAGCCCTCTGAATGGGCCAGGGCGAGGTGGGGACCGTCCCCTCAGAGAGCGTTTGTCATCCCACGTCACTTCAGGGAACAGACTTTTACTGCGCAGTGGTTTGGGACATCATTAGATAAATTTTATTACAAGGAATTTAAAAAGCCTGGACTAATACAGCATTAAAAAGCATTTAACCAGCTACAGGCTCAGGGCTTATCCACTGACAACGATAATCCCCCCGTCCGTGTCCTGGGCGCCCCGGGAACAGCCGGGACAAGGAGCTGGAGGCACAGACACCCCCCAGCCCCCGGTGGGACACAGCATGTACGTCAGCACTGTCACCGGGTGTCACAGAGAGCTGGTGCAGAAACAACCAGAGGTGTATCTGCTGCCCCGGGACATCACTTGTGGAGATGACACAAGTAAAAACCTGTAGTACACTCTCACATTAAAAATACAGATATATATATATAGAGAGAGAGAGAGAATGATCACTGCCTATAAAAATGTAAATTCATAGAAAGTCTTCAATGACACAGAGATACAGGAATTTTACTTGCACTCGGATAAGAAGCACTGGAGTGCACAGCAATAGTACGCAGGGTGCTCAGTGTGTTTTCTCTAAGTGGTGGGTCACTTCTCCCCCGGGTGATCGGACGCTGGGCCCTGGGATTTGGCCTAAAGGGAAGGGGAAGAAAAAGTAAAAATGCCGTTTTCAAAGAGTCCCTGATGAAAACCTCACTGACACAGGAAGGACTGTAAAACCAGCTCGTTGTCCTGGCAAAACCATTGCAAACTCAAGGGGTAATGGCCCCGTCCCCTGAAAGGGAGGTGTCCAGTCCCCCCTCCCTGGCCTCACCTTTGTGCTCCTGTGCCTGAAGCCAACGGGACCCTCCGACACCCCCGGGCTCCTTCCTCCTGCGCTGCTGGTGCTGTGGAAGAGCAAGGACACTGTCAGAGGCAGCAACGTACTGACCTGGGTGCTACTGCTGAACAAACCCAGGTCCTTCACACCAGGGAGACTCCAGAAGGTCCAGGAAGAGCCCTTCAACCTCCTCCTGAACCCCGACCCAGGTATTTTTGCAGCAGAAGAACCAGATCCCATTCAAAAAGCCAAGCCAGAGCGCTACAATGGACAGGTAATAGCATTATCCTGCATTTTCTCCCAGCAACCATTTTGTCCGTTCTATTTCTATCTAAAAGCCTGAGTTTGCTGTTTGAAACCCAGATAAGCAGCAGCCAAATTGAACTGAGTGAAACCCTTTCAGCCCCAGGCAAACGGGAGGGAATCCAGATCTGCATCAGAAGGGGCCTGGAAGGGATGCGTCTCCAGTGCTGTGGGGCTGCTGCCACCTGAAGGTCAGAACGAGCCAGACCAAAGGCTGTGCCCCTACTTTCTGCAGAGCAAAACCCCCACGGTGCCACGGCTCCCTCCTGCTTTAGGGCAGCCCCAGCGTGGCTGCTGGAAGTGGAAGGTGTTACCTAGCCAGGCTGAAGGCTGTGCCCCTACTTTCTGCAGAGCAAAACCCCCACGGTGCCACGGCTCCCTCCTGCTTTAGGGCAGCCCCAGCGTGGCTGCTGGAAGTGGAAGGTGTTACCTTGACTGGGCTGGAGAAGTTCTGGAGAAGCTGGATGTGAAGGCTTCTGAACGGAAGTTCTGAGTAGGTCTCACACGTGGCGTTGTCCCACCTGCAGCTTCTCTTGCACCTCTGTTCTTTGGTCTGCCCTCGTCACCAGTCACCTTCCTGGGCTTCCCTCTGGCCTCGGAAGCGTCACTGGCTCTGGCTGAAGAGGACAATGGTGCATTCCTGATGTTTGCCATATTATTGAGTAACTTGGTCCCTCCTGCAGGACAGCTGAGCCTCTGCTGCCCAAAGCCTTCTATGCACCGAGGAGAAACATCTCCTGCAAGGAGAAGAACACAGCGCTTAATAGGGAGAGTGAATCATGAAGCTCCCAGCACAGGGCTTCATAACCAAGATCTGGGAGGAAATCAAGTTTCAGTGATTTGTGTAAAACTAGACCAATGGTAGAAGAGCGAAGACTTTTAAATTTTGGAGACAGAACACAGTAACAACTCAGCTTGGAACAGGCACAGTGTTCCTGCAAACGTCAAGGAGAAGTGTGTGAACCCGTGCTTTGCCCACACCTTGATGCCTGATTCTCCTCCGTGCCAGCTCGGGCGAGTCTCTTCTCTCCCTGTTGGCTTGAGGAGCTGGTGGGTGCCGGGGTGGGAAGCTGCCTGCGGGGCTGGCTGGGCGCAGGTCGCAGTGGTGCTGAAGGAAAACAGATGTCAGAGTGTTGAAATGACAGCTCCTACCAACTAATTCCTGTAAAAACACTGCAGAGCAGCACCCCGCGGGAGGATTTGGGGTAGCAGGAAATTGTGTTTAGGAAGAGGCAGGTACTGGCTTGTCAACACACCCCTTGTCTCTGCCTTAAGCCCCCTGTCTCTCACACAGAGCTCAGGAACCATCAACAGCCACCCCAGGACCCAAGGAAAATGGAACTGGCAGCGTGAGGCGGTGATCGAACCCAGCCCGTAGCCAGGGACTCGCTGCCAGCCCACAACCAGACAATCCCTCCTTCAGCTTCTGCCTCTCACACCCCAAAACCACCCCAAGCCAGGCCCCAGCACGCAGAGCAGCACCCCGCAGAAGGATTTGGGGTAGGAGGAAATTGTGTTTAGGAAGAAGCAGGTACTGGCTTGTCGACACACCCCTTGTCTCTGCCTTAAGCCCCCTGTCTCTCACACAGAGCTCAGGAACATCAACAGCCACCCCAGGACCCAAGGAAAATGGAACTGGCAGCGTGAGGCGGTGATCGAACCCAGCCCGTAGCCAGGGACTCGCTGCCAGCCCACAACCAGACAATCCCTCCTTCAGCTTCTGCCTCTCACACCCCAAAACCACCCCAAGCCAGGCCCCAGCAGGGGGAAAATAGCCCTGAACTACTGTCACTGATTCTGATCAGCTTCCTGGTGTCAGCCTGGCACTGGTACCATCATAAAAACCAAATCCAAGGACACAAATCAAGTTAAAAGTGATTTCCAAGTCATGCTGCCCACAGAAGTGCCCCCGCTGGCTATCCCCGTTATGAAGACATGTTTTACTGCAAGTCCATTACATCGGGGAACAAATAAGAAGACAGAAACCCACAGGACACACAACAAAAACAAGAACTAGAAAGGAGAACATTTGTTATCTTTGTTCAATACCAGGGATACCACCCGGAACACAAAACTTTAACTACAGGGTGTCCCTTTCACAGGTTGCAAACAAACTATGTTGTTGCAACTCAGCTCCCATCACTAATTCTTAACGAGTCCTGATTATCATACACAGCTGTAGTCCTGATTATCTACAGCTGGTAGGTAAAGCAGTCTTTGCCTTCTGCCTTTCCAAAATAGTTAGACAGGGAGAAAAAAAAAACCAACGAAGTCTTCCAGCAGCCAACTGTAATAGGGAGTGGATGGGACTTCTTAGTGCCCAGCACAACTACTTAGCACAGGATAAACTATGACATTTTATGAGATCTCATTTCTATTAATACCGATTTTCCTGTCAGCCTGGAGAGGAAAGGCCTCAGAAAAAACAAACAAACTGCAGCTTCACTAGTTTGTTAGTTAGGACTGTGAGAACTGTTCACTTCCCCATTCCTTCTGTGAAATAGAAAATGACCAAGCTCATCCATAAGAGCAGCAAATTCCAGAGCACTGTCTGTCCCACGCACACAGGGCTCCCTGAATCTGCTCCCCAGGTGTAGAGGAGCAGGAAAGCACCAGGAATTCGAGCTGGTGTCTGCCCATCCCTCTGAAAGCAGGAACAGCTTCGGCAGCACCAAGACCCGGCGTGCATTCAGTATCAGCAGTATCAGAGCGATGTATAGAAGGGTCCAGAGAAGGGCAACGGAGCTGGTGAGGGGTCTGGAGAACAAGTTTTATGAGAGGCTGAGGGAGAAAAGGAGGCTGAGGGGAGACCTTCTCACTCTCCACAACTCCCTGAAAGGAGGGTGTAGCCGCGGGGGTTGGTCTCTTCTCCCAAGTCACAGGTGATGAGGAAATGGCCTCAAGTTGTTCCAGAGGAGGGTCAGATTGGAGATTAGGAAAAATTTTGACATTGAAAGGATTATTAAGCCTTGGAATGGGCTGCCCAGGGAAGGGGTGGAGGCACCATCCCTGGAGGTATTCAAAAGACAGGCTGACATAGTGCTCAGTGACATGGTTTAGTCATGGCTTTTATCAGAGTTAGGTTGATGGCTGGACTCAATGATCCTAAAGGTCACTTCCAACCTCCACAATTCTATGATTCTGTAGAGCGGGAACACCCTGGTGACCCCTCTGCAACACCCAACCCTTCACAAACCCCCCACTTCCCCCTTCAGCCAAGACTGTGCTATGTCCCTGCTCTTTCCCTTCCTCTCTCTCTTTACATCTGAGACATTCCTCCCTCTCTGAGATTCACAGCCCGAGTTCCCTACTTCCTCTCCTACACAGCTCACACGCTTGTGTTCCTCTCCCACCTCAGCTGTGATTCATACATCCTGGTTTCAACAGAACTTTTATGTATAAAAGTCAAAACATTTATATTGTGCAATTTCGGGGCTTTTTGTTTAGCTTTTGTTATAGAGGCTTTCAAAAACAATGGTTATTTTTCAGTAAGAGCCACGACACCTTAGGTGGGACCCAAGAGCCTTTGTTTAGGAAGATCTGACACAGGGGACAGTTACTTGGATTCCTGAAACCTGCCACAAGAAGAGGCCGCAGGACTTGGCACAGATCCTGAACAACTGGATGCAACACAACAGGTCAAATTTGGGTTTGTACCTGATGATGAAAGAGAGTCTCCTCTTCGAGCTGGATGCCACAAAATTCACATGGGATCATAATGTCTCCTTCTGCCTGGACAGCTTGGGGCTGGGATGAAGAGAGAGACCTCCAGCCCTTGGACCCAACAGCACGTAGACCTTCATATTCTCGTGGATTTGGAGAAGAACTTCTTTTACTGAACGAGGCAAAGGCACTTGCTGGGTTACAACCTGTCTGTTATTCAAGCAACACGGAAAAATTAGCTGTCCTGTTGAGCACAGATGGATTTTAAAAACCATGCCTTGCAAAGAGAAAACTGCTAGAGCTCTGGCAGTGGCACCGAGTAGCACAAAAAAGTATTTACTGCAAACCCCTAGATAATACAATAGAAGAAGGTACTAAACCTGGTGAAGAATCAGATCTTCAGCAGGGTACAGCTCCTCACAAAATTCGCACGGCAACATGATGATCTCGTCGTCTGCAAAGTAAGTAACGGTTTGTTCCTCTACCATGAGAAGTCCAGTGCAGTTGGACTGACTTATCTGCAGAATTCCTAAGCACCAGACCCCCACTCCGTGCCACAGGACAGCACCCAGAGCAAATGCTACAGGAACAGTTACTCCAGTCCCACTTGCCAAATTTCACATATGCAAATTCACATCACCCAGAGCGAGAACAACATTTTGGGGTCAAAGATATATCGAATGGTCTGGTAAAAAAGCCTCTTACTGCTTTCAATAAATCCTTTATTGTTCCATTTCTCCTTTCAAAATCAGCTGGCACTTCAGGACTCCCCCAGATCCTCCCTTCCTGTTTCCCTCAAGGGGAAAGTTGTTACGAAGCTCCCACCACAGATCAAGGTCAGACACTCACTAGAGCTTTTATTCCTTCTTCCCTTGCTGTCTTGCTTGACTAATAGCTCTTTGAAAGAAATTCTTTTATACACTAATATTGCTAAGTTTTGAGGGAGCAAAAGATAAAATTTAAGAAAGGAAGGAAAAATGGTACTGATGGAGAGTCTAATCTCCCGTATATCAATTATCTAAAAATGATTTAGAGGAAGTCTCAAAGAGACTCATGTTGACATTTTAAAATACCCAGATAATCCTCGACATTCCCAATCCAAGAATCCTCTTTCCTGCTGCCCTCCCGCAAACTTTAAGGGAAAAAAAAAAAAAACAACCACAACGGAGTTCATACTTACTTTTTATGTGGTTTGCTGTGCTAAAAGACACTAAAGAGTCACAGGAGAAGATGTTTGACTTGTCTGGTTCGTTCAGACAGGCCGATGGCATGGATTCTTTGGTGTAGTAGTTCTCCCAGAAGTCCCTGGGAATTTCAGCTGCGGTGTTATTGTGAGGATAATTCTCATTTTGTAGGCTGAGAGCCAACACGTAGTCTAAGTCGGGGTTCCACTCTTCATAAAGCGCAGAACGAGCGTTTTCATTCCTCTCCAGCTGCTCCAGTTCATCCTCTTCAAAACAGAAATATCATCAATTTGAGCGAACATTAAACCCACAACAAGCAGTTCTCTTCTGCCCATTAAACCAGCTCAACCACAAGGTTTTCACACCTGCACGTGAGGACACTTGTGGAGGTCAGCATTTCAGAACCTAGAAGGACACCTGTATCAAATTCAGGAGGAAGAAGGAAAACATCCTATTTTTGTTTTTAACAAGCAAAAAAGGAAAAAAAATAAATAAGAAAGTCATTGTTCTTATTCCAAAAGCTTGAACTTAAGCTTCTTGGGAGCTTTATGAAGTGACTGAGGAACCTTCTGTGACCTACACTGTGACCAAGGTCCAATTAAAATACTGTAATCTCGTCGCTTTTACAAACTGGAACACTTCAGCTTTGTTTTTTCAGTATATCAAGGGGAAAACAAATTCCTTTTCATGATATTCCATTTGACAACAGTGGGAATTATACACCTACAGAAGAACACCATGAAATGTTTCCTGGCAGGAGTGTTACACTGAAAGGAAAACCAGGGCTCCAGAACGGGGCCCAAGACTCAACTGACGACAGACGAAGAGAGGCCGAGTGCTCCTCACCCATGCTGGCCTCTTTCAAATCTCTCTGGTATTTCACTTGTACTGATTACATGAGAATTTTAAACATACACGAGGAGAGGCCGAGTGCTCCTCACCCGTGCTGGCCTCCTTCAAATCTCTCTGGTATTTCAACTTGTACTGATTACATGAGAATTTTAAACAAAGCTTACACGTGCTTAAAAATACTATTTGTGAAGACTCTTTGGAAGTTACAGCTCTCCAGATTATTCAGGTTTATTACCTAAGCCCTGGAGTTATTTCTACAAACCAGGCACTCTTCTGCAGCAAAGACTGTAATTTAGTGTTCCATGGTGTTAAATCCTCTGAGTGGAGCACAGATTCAGCCAAGAGCTCATGGAAATGTCTAAAGTGTGACATGACCCCCTGCACGTGGAGATGAGAGATCAGAGGCTTAGGAAAGAGCAGGGGCATTGATAATAGTCTCAGCCTACGTCCCAGCAGGATGTTACTGCAGAAATGCCCAGCATTTCATAGGTGAACCCACATCCAGATCTCACCTACCCTTCTGCTGAACTAAAGGAGAGAGGGGTGCAGATGCTGAACAAAAATGGATGGAATTCGCAGTGAGCAAACAACTCCAATTTTAAAAATTTCCAATTTTTAAGCTGGATGCTTTGAGACAAAGGAACAGGCAGTGGACTAGGCTTTCACACTAGGTACCTCAGCAGCCCTGTTATTTAGCTGGCTCACACCTTTGCAGTTCTATTCCACAGTAATACAGTCCCACTCACAGGGCCTCTGGAGCTTTCATGATTCAGTATTTTCACATAAAGCAATTACAAACCCTTATACTAGGATCAGCTGCCAAATGTCAAGTCAGAAGCCAGTAATTATTCTTCTCTGCATCTTGCCTCGCTTTTGCTTTCTTTGTGCTGCTGAAACATTTAGTTTTTTCCCCGCTAATGTCCTTAAAGTGTTTTGTCTCCTACACAGCTGCTGTAAATCTGATTTTCTAGCACCCTGGGCGTTCTCCACAGAGGCCCAGCAGCGTTACCTGATCTCAGTCTGTTTCTAATGTCTCGAAGGGCGCGCAGACCTGCATCCTCATCCTGGTAGCGAGGCGCCCTCCTGCTCCCTCTCACTTGTTTCCCCTCTTGCCCGCAGACTCGAGGATGCTCTTTCAGATCTTTCACCATGACGTTCCGACCGCACCCGCCGCACCTCTCAGTCCTGGCTCCGCAGTAGATCTCGTGGTCCTGGAGCTTGTCGAAAGCCAGCTGTATGTCACAGTACTGGCAGAGGGCAGGGCGCAGAGGGCAGGCCGACGCCTGGAAAAATGAAAGAGGGATTATTCTTCACATATGGAAGACCAAGGCAAAGGTGGAGGGAGGTTCTCAGTTTGCTCAAGAGTTGAGCCGTCTATTGTTCCTTCAGACAGATCCGAAGCCACACAGAAGAATAGCCTGGAATAAGATACTGTGTGAGAAACGCAAGAACAACGTGTTGTGTAACCTGTGCAGTCATAAACGCGCCAGCTGAAGCACTCCCAGTGCTCAGAACATTTTTTTTCAAAATCTGTAAGGCTTGGACAGCAGATTCACAAAGTTCTTTTTGAAGTCAGCTTTTAGATACGGTCTTGACATTCAGTACTAATCCCATTTCATCGAGTACTGCTAAAAAACACATTAGTGTGTGTTCTATTAGGGAACACATTTACAGCACATTTACTGCTCAACAAGAATCGTTTGCAGATGTTCTTTACCCTACACTGAATGACAGGTACGTTGCCCTTCCAAAGGGGTTAAACAGAGGTGAAATACATGTTGCAATTGCAGATGCTGCAATAACACATCATCAATTGCTTTACAAACACAACTAACAGCACTACACACAAACATGCAGGATAAAGTACTTCCAGAGTTTTAAACTGGACATATCTTCAAAGTAAATCCATTTTTCCTCAGCCATAAGCAGAATTAGGTGGCCCTTTCAGAGCTGTCTCTAAATGAGCCCATGGGAAGGGAAGGTACTGACATTTATGACAAGATTGCCTGTGACAGCAGCCAACTGGATTCAGAAAATCCCACTGTGTCCTATTTTAGTTTATTTTACAAGCTATTTATAAAGTCTGTTTGGACATAATGAGTTACTAAAACACACAGCAGAGTCAGAAATGCGTAATGTTAAAGGAATGAGAAAAGTCAAGTAAATCATATCATGTAGTTTTGAAATAGTGTGCCATTTTTCATCTTAATCGTTAATAAGGATGGAATCACCAATTATCACAGATACCCCTTTGATATGAAGACTTGAGCAGGCTCCACCACTTTAGAGCAGTTTCCAACCAAGGTGGTTGGAAATCCTCTCAGAGGGTGTGAATTTCGAAAGCAGGGTTCAATAAAAAGGAGGCAGAAATCACAGGCTGGAATCCAGGTCTTGGCTGACAGAAAGGCTCCAGGAATCAGTGCTTGGAAACACCACAGAGTATCTTCCAAGTGTCTAGTAATATAAAGTCCACCAACCTCATGATCCTTCAAGAGACTTTTTTCTATCTTCATCCCACACTTGCAGGTAACCTACAAGACAGAGACCTCGTTAGATTAATTGCCATAGAAGTCAGCAATTTTGGAGGAGAAATCTGTTTCTCACCTGCTCATGTTCAGATTCCATATGGTTCTTCATTTCAGACTTTGGGATTGACTCACTGCAGTAGCGACACACTTCGATATTTCTGCTACAGTGGATTTCGTGCATGATGAAATTAGCGACAGGGATCTCCTTTGTGCTACAGGAAAGCCACAGAGGTTTCTTTTCAGAAAATACACTGACAAGAATTTCAAGCAGTTTTTCATAACAACAAAAAAAATCCTAATAAAGTTTTCTATGAATTCATGGTTCAGAGAACTGAGTAACTAAAGAGAAAGACAAGCCCAGCTAGGCCTCCCTGTTCCTTTATAAGTTGGGATATTAATGTATATAGCATGCAAAGGTCACAGTTTTCAAACTGCATTAAGATAAAATCAAGGTGGATTTATTTCCCTACGTGAAAGACAAATTTTGCAGCATAAACAAGCGATCACCAGGTCCAAGTTAATAAACTAATCTGAGAAGATAAAAGTTTCTTCCTGAAAATATCTTGGCTATGAGAGGTCAAACACTGCTCTGCTTGGAAAAAAATAATTAACAGATCTGTTAGGCCAGCTTTGTCCAGGGAATGACAGCAGTAACCATATTGCTCTGTAGCCAAAATCCCTCAACTCACCCCATTTCTGAGACACTCGTTTCCTTCTCCTGAGGAGGATGCAAGGCTTACAAACACAAAAGGTGCAAAAAGAACTAAAGCAGCAGGAGCTTAGCCCTTATTCCTGCCTCAAACAGGCAGCACCATTTCTGGAGGGATGTATCCCTCCCCCTCACCCCCCGCAAGAAATCAGCCTTCAAAACACCAACATTATAACCTATTGCTTAGTGCAGAAACACAACAGCTGCTGGGTTTTCTCCCTTGCCAGATCCCCAGCAGCCAACAGCCTGGCAAAGCAACAAAGTCCAACAGCAGTGTCTGAACTGCCCATTCTCACTGCTTGCAAACAAACTAGGCTGATGTTGCAAGAAACTGTTTGGATTCCAATGTCTCTTTGAGAGAGAAGGAAAAAAAAAAAAAGGATTAATTTCTTTGGTTGCTTGTATTCGAGATGCAACTTCTGTGCTTACACCATTATCAGTAAGTGTATTATCAAGACTGGAGCTTCTAAAGAAAGAGAACTGTTATCAAAGAGAAACAACTGCCACAACAATATGTGCCTATTGATTCTATTTTTACATCTCTGCTTCTGAGCCACAAAGCTGCTAAAGAAAAACTTGCAATCACGAACTTCATGTCTACCCCACTGAAAAATCAAGTGTTTATTCAATATCTCCTTCCCTTGAGACATTCAAACCCCGCCTGGACGCGTTCCCGTCCAACCTGCTCCAGGTGAGCCTGCCGAGGCAGAGGGGTTGGACCAGATGATCCCCAGAGGTCCCTTCCAACGCCTGCCATTCTGTGATTCATTTCTATTTGAATACTTTGGTTTCTAGTCAACCATTAAGTCAGAAATTCGAGTAATGGTTGGGGAAATTATTTTATTAGGCAGTAATACCTGACACGGTAAAACCAAAACCCAAACATTTCTAAAAAGATAGCAATCTGCACTTTCTGGTATTTCATAGTATTTTAAGGGAATACAAAATCCTAGAATGGTTTGGGTTGGAAAGAACCTTAAATATCATTGAGTTCCAACCCCCTTGCCCTGGGCAGGGACACCCCCCACCAGACCAGGTTGCTCCAAGCCCCATCCAGCCTGGCCTTGGGATGGGGCACCCACAGCTTCTCCGGGCAGCCTGTTCCCGAGTCTCACCACCCTCTTAGCGTTGACTCACTTAATCCCTGACCCGGCCTGCCCTCGGCACCGGCACCGCCGCCCCCGCCCAGCCTTCGGTTTCGTTTCCTACCAGTTCCCGCAGAGCCGGGTCTCCTCCCCGGTGACCGCGGCGATGGCCATGGTGGTGCCGTTGCCCGTGGTCCGGCGGACCGGCACCCCCTCTCCCTCAGCCTCTGGGGGTACCCGCACCGGGGAGAGAGGGAGCGCGGCCCCGACCGCTCCCCCCGGGGAGGCTTTGGGCCTCCCGCCGCCCCGCTCTCCTTGCCGTGGGTGCTGGCGGAGCCCGGACCCGGCTCCCGCCCGCCCGGGGCTGGAAGCGGGAGTTTGGCCGGGCCCGAGGGGACCCGGCTCCGTTCCCCGCGGGGCAGCGGGGGCTTTCCGCTGAGCTTCCCCCCTCTGCTGCCGGGGCAGGGCTCTCCCCGCTCGGGAACCCGTCGCCCGGAGGAGGCGTTGGGGGGAGCGGGGCCCGCTGGCGGGGGGGCGCGGGTGGTTGT